ATTTAAGGTGCTTGAACTAATCCCAGACGTAGCTATGTACAATGTACACTGAAGGTTTACACCGACCGTATAAACAAACATCCGTTATCAGTTCAGTTATATAGTTATGTCATGACCTCCTCGCTATACCAACGTAACGGTAAAACAGTTTGCACTGTCACAAGTGATCAATATTTATACCATGTGTTTGATATACTGGGCCAGTTTCTATAGCGTCTATTGAACCAGCCGATAGGGTGGGCATACCGCTTACTGTTCTGTTATGTTTACTTTGTGTGTATATGTACCAGCCTTACAACCTTACTAGTAACACAGCACGTAGGTAGGCATTGAGAAAGGCGTGGACAGGTATTATCGGTACTGCAATGTATTCGCGACTAGGCCTAGGTCTGTGTTGTTCAAGCTGTTCACATGCCATGATGATATATTAGTTTTACTTTTTAAACACCATGTATATTTCAGTGCCAAAACCTGCTTTTATATCTTGCAAAGAAGAAAACATATTTTATACGGATAGATTTTATACTGTATTTACCTATATAATTATTTATTATTTAGTATTTATAATGTATTAATACATTAGTCTCTCATAACCCTTAAAGGGTGGCTCACTTATATGCTATATTTTATAAATATATTTATATATGTATTTTATGTGAGGTGAGACTGAAATATAATGTCTGTCTGTCTGTCTGTCTGTCTGTCTGTCTGTCTGTCCGTCCGTCCGTCTGTCTGTCTGCCATTGCTGTTGACTTTGTCCCTGCAGCGTATAAGATAGGACTCCATAATTTACAGACCGCTGTCATATAGCTGGAATATAGCTGAATGATGCATTAGATATAAACCAACCAACGAAGAGAAAATAATTCAGAGCAGCAACATATGTACGTCACCCGCTACGTGCGTGAACACTTCATTCTCAACTTCCTGATTTTTCGAGTCAGTGGTGCGTCTACTGTCATGTGGCATGAACTAGCTGGGCGCACTTCCATAGGAGGGAGCTGATACATACGTACGTATGCACGCACGCACGCACGCACGCACGCACGCACACACACACACACACACACACATACATACATACATACATACATACATACATACATACATACATACATACATACATACATACATACATACATACATACATACATACATACATACATACATACATACATACATACATACATACATTGCTATAAGATAGGAATTGGTGCATGATTAATAACTTTAAAGCTCAAAGTGAAATTCCTTGAAATCCGGATTAACGCTTGTCCAGTTAAACTTTTAAACGACGGTAATGTGATTTATAAATAAAGTGGGTCCAACAGGAAAAGTCAGAAGGGCGTCTCTGATGTTCGGATAAAAAGGGTCTGTCTGCGCCAACATCGTAGAAGGGTGTTCCCCTTGAGATGTGTGTGTGTGTGTGTGTGTGTTTGTGTGCGTGCGCGCCTCCTTGCGGCATTTTATTGCTAATTTACTTTTAATTCAGTGTAAATACAACCTTTTTAGCCTGACAACGGTGTGTAAAGATCTACATCGAAACGTCGATCTATACAATACCAAGAAAATGTTATCCATAAAGTCGAATGCTTCGTTATTTAGTCTCCAACTTCTAGAATGCCGACCAAACATTTCCAAGTATAAAATAGATGCATATTTCTGAGTTTGTGTCAGAAAGTTGTGAATTCTATTTAAACGATAAACTTCTATGATCACAGTGATATTTTTATCAAACATACCTTCCTGATACCCAATGATCGAAACTTTATTCAGCTATAAAATTAAATTCTTTCCCTACACTGGACACATTTATTGTTGTTAAGGGCTAAAATATCCTCCAAGCACTGTTAGCTGTGCGAACGAGCTGATAGATTCAAACTTCCTGTACCATTCACAGCTATAAATATCACTTCCTAGTCAACAATTGCCCTTCTGCCAAGTATGTTGTGTCTCTGTAACAGTTGTAAAGTATCTATAACAAGTACTTGGTGCGTGAAGAAGAATATTTTTCACACTGATTTTTCTAAACGAGAGTCAGAACTGTTTTCTCGAGTCAGGCCGAGTGTTACACATGTGTGATGTCCAGATGAAGTAACACAGTATACTGGTGTACGGCAAGTGATATTTGCACAGTTGTTGTATTGTTAATAATCTGGGTAATAATATATATATTACCCAGTATTCATTTAATCTTTATTGTGTGCTACAAAGAGTGCATGTATATAACCTTATATAGGGGTATTCATACTCACGGTACACATTCAAGTGCTGATCACGTGTAATCGGGAAAAGAACTTTTATGTGTTTTAATTTTAAGCAAGTGATTCGGTTCTGATTAATATTCCATCCGTGAAGATCCGAGTTAGATTTGGTCTTCAGCAACCCATGCTTGTAGTAAGGGGTGACTAACGGGATCGGGTGGTCAGGCTCCCTGACTTGGTAGGTGCATGTTATCGGCATCCTTTAGATAGATTGATGCTCATGATGTCAATCACTGGATTGTCTGGTCCAGACTCGAATATTTGGTGGGCAGACAATAAGCCCACTGGGATAAAAAGCCCTCGGACAAAAAACCTATAGGCTAAATGCCCCGGGACAAAAAGCCCTTGCAAATTTCAACCCATAGGATAAAACACCCTCGGTGTATATTTTGAGTTGACAGGTGATAACATTGATGTTTTCTAAGCAATTCCTCCCACTGCTGCCAGTTGTTACTGGCTCCTCGGTGACGATGTTGTTATTTCAACAATGGAATGAAGTCTGCTAAATGGTGTTTCAGAGAACTGGCTTAAATTGGTCACTTCCTCTTATGTTTGATTTCGTTGGGCAGGTACTCATTGTGGTATGTCAATGAACATGGTGTTTATTAAGATGGTCTATTAAGATGGTCAGCGCTATTATTATTTAAATAAATTGCTGATTTCCTGCTACCTTCTTTAAAGTTTGGAATCCAGCGGCCGGCTATTGGTGACGGCGTTCCCAGCATTCGCTTTTGACTGGTATAGGACACAATATTAGACTGGTATGAACTGTAGTACAAGTATCAACTGCATTATGTGCGTGGTGATTTACATTTGTGAAGTATGTGCTATTCCCTCGCGTCATGGGTTTCCGTGGTATTAAGAAATTTACGACTATGAATATGATCGCTCATATTGCCAAGTCATATAAACATAATATGGTGTTAGACGACATACCTGTGTATCATTTAATGTCAATAAAAACACTTTTTTGTCATTCTGAAGTTCATTGTTGTCCGTATCGGACGACAGGCGGCCATTGTGCACAACTTGGCGACGTCATATGTTTCCGTGGTATTTCCTTCAGATCAAATTAGAGCGCACAGCACATGTCACAATCTTACACATTGTCAACAGCCAATCCGGGAGTGTCAATGTAGGTTTACAGTAATATCGAAGTTGTTAAATTGTAATACAGTAAACGATTTTGTAGAATTAACACAATAGTCACATTTCTTCAGCATAAATAGACATAAAGTTGCATTAGGTTTTAATAGTAGATGACTGTACGTACGCAAATTGATGAAAGTCTGAACATATTTTGCTCAGAGCTGTGCCGATCAACTGATGAACGTAAACAATCGATAGGTGGCGCGATTTGGCGAGTGGCTCGTGAGAAATTATGTCATTAGAAAATACCACGGAAACGTAAGTTCCACGGAATCATATGACGTCATGGTTACATATGCTATTTAATGTTATATTATATTGTATTCATGTGGGAATGAAAACAGATTTGTTGGTATTCTATTACATCTCTTCATTGAGGACCTTTTGTCCTACCCATTGAGGGCTTTTTGTCATGGGGGCATTTAGCCTAGGGGTGTTTTGTCTGAGGGTGTTATGTCCTTGTGGGCCTATTGTCCTACCACCTAATATTTACAGACCGAAATCATATAGTTGAAACACTGCTAGGTACGGAGTTAACCAACAAATAAACATTAAAGGTCACATGCAACGTAAAACACAACTTTGCAGATTCTGATACCTTTCGGTATGGATTTACCGAAACAAATCAACAAAAATGCAAATTCAACTTATGAAGTTGAAAAATAACGCGATGAAAAATAACGCGCGAAATCGTAGCTCAAACGATTCACTAATTTTCCCCCAGCGTTTGGGGGAATTTAAGTGGTTTCAACAGCTGGGCTGCGCTCATAGCACGTGCGCAGTGAAATAGGTTCGCGCAGCTTGGAAGCGGGTTGTCCGGTGAATACTCGGTGAAGGCTTTGGTGTGAGCTATTTTTCTAATGTTTTGTTGATATTTCACAGACGCGAGCTTTTGATATGTTATGACAGTAGATTGCCGATTTAACTGTTTATATAATTTCATTTGTCTATTTCACCACACGCTCTTCTTACCGAGTCACTTTCTCAGTTCGATACTTAAAAGCAAATTCATTATTTAACGTTGACAGAATTTCTAACTGTGATATAGATACGTCGTTGTCACAGACAAAACTCAATGTCTGTTTTATTGACACCTATGTGTCTGCCTGCCTGTCTGTTAATGACAATATTCAATACACAACTTCGATCACTGACCACATGCAATTTGAACTTAACACCTATCAGGCTATACACCATAAACAAAACGCATTGATTTATGGCCCGAGTTCGGTCTTATTATGTAATTACACAGACAGGCAGGTGTGATACTTGTACACACGACATGTTATGATGTCTGTTGATTGCAAAATGTTCTGCAAATGAACCAGCCGTACACTTGAGTGCACACCCACCCGCTCTGACTGACTGACTGGGTTCGGTATCCCGGCTGCTTCGTTTTTTGGAAGTAAACCCAAATACAAAATATTGCACTTTTGATTTGCGATTGTACGCTTATAATTTTGTTTATACGTTTTTACATAATCAGCAATTTATATTATATGTCCTGAATAAGTGATAATTGTGTTTTAATTATGTTTGATTTTTTGGTTGCATGTGACCTTTAAGTAATTATTTATGTTTTTACAGTGGTGTAGTACTTCAACCATGACGACCGGGCGTTGTTGAGGACTACGATGACATCGTCCAGCGGTATGGACGCCAACATCATCCCTGAGCCTTATACCGGGCTAGGTAGGTCGTAATGTACACGGTTGGTGTTCTACAGTCCGTTTGAGTCAGAAACAGACCGATTAATTGCAAATTTTATCATTGTACAAAATTGCCACATAGATAGAAATAGTACACATGTTTATCATTTCCGGACTCCACCCAAAAAGTTCCTTATGAAACTATCATTAAAATTTTGACACAGTTCACCATTTGTTACGAGGGAGGAGTGCAGAGAAAGGGACAGCCAGGTGTGCGAGAGAGGATGGAGACGGCACAGAACGGGCTAATGAATCAATAACTTGGTGGGCACTTGTGCACGTGCTTCTCTAACACCTGGCTGTCCCTTTCTCTGCACTCCTCCCTCGTAACAAATAGTGAACTGTGTCAAAATTTTAATGATAGTTTCTTAAAGAACTTTTTTGGTGGAGTCCGGAAAATTTTCAAATATAATAAAGCTGTTGGGTATTAGTAAATGATAAACATGTGTACTATTTATATTTATGTGGCAATTTTGTACAATGATAAAATTTGCAATTCATCGTTCCGTTTCTGACTCAAACGGACTGTACTTGATTATGTGACTGGATCAATAGGAAGTAGTCAATTGTTGTTGGAGGACATGGATCCGTTTATACTTGATGTACTCAGCTCTGGGGATTCCGTGTTAAATAGGAACCTCGGAACTTGTGGTGGTCTTACGAGGCGACTAAATGATAATGCTCGCTGATCTGATTTGATGGATCACAGCATCGCAACCCAATGGAGTGGATCGTTCCTCTCTCTCTCTCACACCGCCTCCGTGGTATAGTGGTTAGAGCGTCCGCCCGGAGAGCGGAGGGTCGCAGGTTCGATCCCCGACCGCGTCATACCAAAAGACGTTAAAATATGTACTTGTTGGTCCCTGCCTGGCGCTCGGCATTAATGGGTACAACAAGGACTGGTCGGCTCGGAGTCAGTATAATGTGTCTGAGTGGGGTATTCATGCTTCACTGCGGCATGGTATCTCAGTGGGCTAGCACTATAAAACCAGCTTCAGTCTGGGCTAGTACAAGCAGCGCACCTACACATACACACGCATGCACGTCGTCATATGAGCGAAAAATTCTCAAGCACGACATTAAACCCAATTCATCTCACCTCACCTCTCTCTCACACACATACACGCACGCACGCACGCACGCACGCACGCACGCACGCACACACATCCACGCACACGAACCAAACAGTTTTAGGTTCACGGTTTGTATAGACTTCCTGTTCCATTCAAATACCATCAATATCACTTCCTGGTAAAAAATACACATCTTTCAATGTGCCTTTGTATCGGTGTAAATAACTTTAAAATGCCTGTCTGGCTTGACGAAATACAGCTGGCTTGACGAAGCATATTTTCCAGCTGTGCTATAGCTCCAGCATTGTACGTATTTCAATTGACTATGCATTACAGGTTTACCCCCTGGAAGGGTGGTTGGTGTACATGTACATTACTTTTATCATACATACGTACGGCATAAGGCAACAATATATCAATCTTTATGCGATGCTGGTGGTTGGAGAGTGAGTGAGTGAGTTTAGTTTTACGCTGCTTATAGAAATATTCCAACAATATCACGGAGGGGAACAACAGGAATGGGTTTCACACATTGTACCCATGTGGGGAATCGAACCCGGGTCTTCAGCGTGGCGAGCGATTGCTTTAACCACTAGGCTACCCCACCGCTTCGGAGATGATTTGAACAAAGTTCCTGAGCAATGTGGCAACAGCTGTCAATAACACTTCCACATGTCGTTGTTTGTCTTGCGGTGTCTTTGGATTGAAGATCGGGTTCGATTTATGATCTCGGTACGTTTGTTGTAGTGAGTGAGTGAGTTTAGTTTTACGCCGCACTCAGCAATATTCCAGCTATATGGCGGACTTTTGTTGTAAACCCGTGAAGATTCGGGTTAGAATTGGTCTTCGGTAAACCATGCTTTTCGTAAGAGGCGACTAACGAGATCGGGTGGTCAGGGTCGCCTACTTGGTTGACACATGTCATCGTATCCCAGTTGAGCAGATCGGTGCTCATGATGCTGATCACTGGTTTATCTGGTCCAGACTCGATTATTTACAGACCGCCGCCATACAGCTGGAATATTGCTGAGTGCGGCGACAACAAATCAACGTTTATTGTATCATTGTCGAAAGCAAAGTAAAACCCTCCTCACTCACTCACTCACTCACTCACTCACTCACTCACTCACTCACTCACTCACTCACTCACTCACTCACTCACTCACTCACTCACTCACTCACTCACTCACTCTTGTCAATTCCAGGGGCGCAACAGCTGCTTCAGCATCACCCGCCGCGTCACACAGGCTTTCTGAGGAAGAGAGGAAAGCGGGAACGAATGCTGGAGAGCTTCCGCCTGACCAGGTCGTTGCTTGGGAGAGTTCTCCGATGTAAGTACATACTGACCGTATGGTTTAAACATATATAGATATTTATTCAACTAAAATTGAATAGGGATCGGTGAACAAGCTATAAACTTATATGAACACCTCTCCCTTACAAGAACAAAAAATAATACACAGTTTAAGCTGTTAGTCATGTTTAAGCTGCACATTGTCCATAGGAAATGAGGTATGTCGACATCGTAAGTTGAGTGTACACAATCATTATCCTGGGAAAAGGGCGTTAAGTCTGCCTGATTTTACAATATACAAATGAACAGATTCAAGAATCTGCATATTTACAAGTGCAGTTGAATGGGCATTTCCGAATAATAATGAGTCTAATGTGTAACCTTTCTGATAAAAGTACATGTTATTTCGAGTTACAGTATTTAATGGACAAGTAAGGAAAACGTGAAAACTATCTTCATTTGCAAGTCCACATGGGCTTATCGGACTCTCTGAAATGTATCTTTCATATTTGTGAGCATTGAGGTCACTGCAGCCGGGTCGCAGGCGGGAATGAAGTAGGGAATTGAGTAAAACGGCTTCCATAGTTGAGATTAAAGCATATACGAGGTGGATTTATAGTCCTCAGTTGTCTTTTAAAATTCGACAAGGACTCTAAATGAGCAAGATGTTGAGGCAGTTTGTCTGGCATGATGGTCACAAAGTTTTGTTATTTACATGGTTACATGTCGACGTCCCACCTGAAACAGTAAGTTGAAACCGGAAATCTATACAGTGTGAAACCAACCAACAAAGAAAGAAAAGTATACAATGATCAATTGAATTATAAGATTAACACTGCTGACGATCTATACAACTTTCTGCAATATATTTACAATGACAGTACACAAAAGGACCCGTGAAGATCCGGGGTAGAACGGGTCTTCAGCAAGTGAGTGAGTGAGGTTCTTACCCGGACCTTCGCGGGTAGTAACAAAAATGAGTGAGTGAGTTTCTTACCCGGACCTTCGCGGGTAGTAACAAAAATGAGTGAGTGAGTGAGTTTCTAACCCGGACCTTCACGGGTAGTAACAAAAATGAGTGAGTGAGTTTCTTACCCGGACCTTCGCGGGTAGTAACAAAAATGAGTGAGTGAGTGAGGTTATTACCCGGACCTTCGCGGGTAGTAACAAAAATTGCCAGTGATACTAATATGCGCCTATCTCGCCCTAGGCTGGACGTCGAGGGTCAAAAACACAGGGGTTCGAATCAATGTTTGGACGATAATTTTAAAAATAAAATTCTAGACTTTTGCAATCATATATATAATTCAAATTTGAACGAATTTTTAAAAAATCTTTATTTCTTGACCGATTTTGTTCAAATTTGAAACATATGTTAATCTTAGTATATGAAAACAATCTATGAAAAAGTCTAGATTTTTATTTTAAAAATTATTGCTTGTTATGATTAACATATAATTCAAATTTTGAACGAAATTTTCTAAAATCGTTATTTCTTCACCGATTTCGTTCCAATTTGAAATATATGTTAATCATGACATATAAAAACAGTATATGTTTGCAAAAGTTTAGATTTGTATTTTATAAATTATTGTCCAAACAGTGGTTCGAACCCGTGTGGAGAAAACATAGTCTACACGGAGCCGCTTATTTCGGTGTCACGTGTGATGAAAGGCTTGACCCACTCACATAGTCGTAATACCTTTTTGAAAGGTCCATACCATATGCTTTCATAGACTTTAACTGTTCTAAATGATTACAGATTACAGATTTTAAGAAATTACACTCCAAATTTACCAAATTGTTTTACCTTTCGCACTACTACAAAGTATAGTAATACTTCCTTGACAACAATGTATTGTCAAAACACAAGGTTTTGAATGTTTACTGAATCTTGAGAGGCATTTAGAAGTTGATGAATATATAAGACAAATATATGGATGACATCTTCTTTATGGTATATAGATGTACTTCTCTGTCTTCCTGTAAATTCTGGTATATATAGTATGTTTTGTACTCCTGTCCTTATATCACCTGAAGAAGGGGCAAGAAGTAGCCCAGAAACGTCGTGTTATACAATATAGAAGAAGTTGTCATCCATATACTCGTCTTAGAAACGTAATACAATTATGAAACATACAACTTTATTGATGACAACTCCTTGTTTATTGCATAGAGCGACGTTTCGATGTAGATTCTTACACCGTTATCAAGATAAAAGTGACTACAACCAAATGATGAGAAGTATATACACATAGTCAAAGCGGCAGATTTTGATGGCTTCTAAAAGTGTGTTTTTTGTGGTCAAAGCGGCAGATTTTGATGGCTTCTAAAAAGTTTTCTTTTGTGAAGTGCTGATTCGTGGTGGATAGCATTTCCAACTTCTGGAATGCCGATCAAACAACTAGCAATACAATTACAATATTGTTTATCATCAGGAAGTGTTTTTGTCTATGTGTCTTTGTTAATACAACTATTTGCTATTAACCTGTCCGTCTGTTGCAGGGCGTCAGAGATTTGTCGTGATATCCCAGGGTTGTATATATTGCTACGTCAGCGAAACAGCCACGAAGCCTCTACAGGCGTTCTCACTGATAGGGTACAACAGGTAACAAGTTAAACTCACTCACCCCCTCACCGTGTCTACGGGTACCATTCAGGTAAAGGTACTCAGGGTTTTAGACTTTGTATCATTTGTGCCGTGTTAGATTAAACATATTCATTCTGCCTGTAGCACGGAACGGGTGTAGTAGCCAAGTGGGACATGTTTTCGTTCGACACATCTAACTCCCGGTTCTAATCTCCACATCATTACAATGTGGGAAGCCAATTATATATAAATTATTCTGTTTTAATGAATATCCTTGAATTATTCGTTACAGCAGCCTCGTTTAGAAAGCTATTTCTGTGTCCCCACTAATGCAACGCACTGCATTACGTACGTAGACACATTCGATTTTCGAGGATGGTTTCAAGCGTCCAGTCCCTAAACTACATTATTTTCCCCAACTACCTAGCCCTCCCTGCAATGCTAAAGCAATAAATGAAACAAGTCTAGATTTTCCCAGGTTCAGGATTTCCTCCCTGGGGGTAATTATAGGTTTATTTGCTGCCATCAAAATTATATATATTCAGAGACTATATACAGTCTGTTTGCAGTGAAAACGTACCGGTGACTTGCACTTTAAACAAAAATGTAAATCGAATAAAGTGAAATTAAGATTGCGAATCCTCATAAATCTACGTTGCCAATTGAACATTTAAATCTTAGATTTTTATTCAACTTATGAAAAAAGTTGTTTAACAAACGATCATAGTTTCAAATCGCTTATATTGGTTTGTATTACAAGGGGTAAGCGCAGTAGTTGGAACAGTGAAACAAATGCACGTGCGGTACGTGATGAGCGTTAACTTAGACCAACTCTACTTGATCTCGTTGTTTCATTTTATGTGCATACCCCCTTGTAATACAAACCAATAATACCGATTTGAAATTATGATCGTTTGTTAAACAACTTTCATCCCAAGTTGAATAAATTCTGAGATTTAATTTTCAAATGGCAAGGTAAAATAATGAGGATTCGCAATCTTAATTTCACTTTATTTGATTTACTTCTTGTTTAAAGTGAAATTCATCGGTACGTTTTCACCGCAAACAGACTATAAGCGTTAGTCTTCGTCCAGACGTGAAAACGTTGGAAGCCATATGAAGTCCTCTCTTACACCTTCAAGTCTATAGGCTTTCTACATGGAATATGACATTACTTATGGATCGATATAAACCTGCGAATATTGTTACAAGCTTCTTCACTCATACCTCTACCTCCTCAATGTAGGGGCGGTGGGGTAGCCCAGTGGTTCAAGCGTTCGCTCGTCACGCCGAAGACCAGGGTTCGATTCCCCACATGGGTACATTGTGTTAAGCCCATTTCTGGTGTCCCCCACCGTGATATTGCTGGAATATTGTCAAAAGCGGCGTAAAACTAAACTCACTCACTCACTGTAGGTTATTGTCAATGGATGAAGAGCCTACCAATCGCTGGACATTCAGCATTACCTCCCCTGACCCCACAGCAAAGATTCATTTCTTCGCATGCGTCAGCGATGTGGATCGAATGGTAAGCATTTCCTTTACAACCCGTGAAGATCCGGGTTAGAATTGATCTTCAGTAACCCGTGCTTGTCGTAAGAGGCGAATAACAGGATCGGGTGGTCAGGCTCGCTGACAGGTTCAGAATTGCGTAGTGCTGTTGATGGCTGGATTGCCTGGTTAGACCCGATAATTTACAGACGGCGGTCACATAGCTGGAAAATTGCTGAGTGCGGCGAAAAACTAAACTCACTTACTCACTCACTTCTTCACAAAGCATATATTCCTTGTAAAACAGATTAAATAAAACCCGGCGACCTAAACTGTGTGTACAAGATAGTCCTTAGTACTACTTGTATTGCAGGAAGCAGAAGCAGAATACCCGATAACATTTTACCCCAGTGGATTTAAAGGTGGTTGGAACTGACCAGTGTGTGCTCCATAATATCAATCACAGGTTTGTCAGTATCAGGGAGAACACGTGCCTTATTCTCAATAATGTACCTTGCATGACAGTCTGGCATCAGGACTCTCATAATGGTCTTGGGGCGGTGGGTTAGCCCAGTGGTTCAAGCGTTCGCTCGTCACGTCGAAGACCAGGGTTCGATTCCCCACATGGGTACATTGTGTTAAGCCCATTTCTGGTGTCCCCCGCCGAGATATTGCTGGAATATTGTCAAAAGCGGCCTAAACCTAAACTCACTCACTCACTGTAGGTTATTGTCAATGGATGAAGAGCCTACCAATCGCTGGACATTCAGCATTACCTCGCCTGACACCACAGCAAAGATTCATTTCTTCGCATGCGTCAGCGATGTGGATCGAATGGTAAGCATTTCCTTTACAACCCACGATGATCCGTGAAGATTCGGGTTAGAATTGATCTTCAGTAACCCGTGCTTTTCGTAAGAGGCGAATAACAGGATCGGGTGGTTAGGCTCGCTGACAGGTTCAGAATTGCGTGGTGCTGTTGATGGCTGGATTGCCTGGTTAGACCCGATAATTTACAGACGGCCGTCACATAGCTGGAAAATTGCTGAGTGCGGCGAAAAACTAAACTCACTTACTCACTCACTTCTTCACAAAGCATATATTCCTTGTAAAACAGATTTAATAAGTGAATAAAACCCGGCGACCTAAACTGTGTGTACAAGATAGTACTTAGTACTACTTGTATTACAGGAAGCAGAAGCAGAATACCAGATAACATTTTACCCCAGTGGATTTAAAGGTAGTTGGAACTGACCAGTGTGTGCTCATACTATCAATCACAGGTTTGTCAGTATCGGGGAGAACACGTGCCTTATTCTCAATAATGTACCTTGCATGACAGTCTGGCATCAGGACTCTCATAATGGTCTTGGGGCGGTCGGTTAGCCTAGTGGTTAAAGCGTTCGCTCCTCACGCCGAAGGCCCAGGTTCGATTCCCCACATGGGTACAATATATGAAGCCCATTTCGAGTGTTCACGCCGTGATATTGCTGGAATATTGCCAAAAAAGGTCTAAAAAACACACTCACTCATAACAGTTTGCATGTTATTGGAAAGAACATAAAGTAAAAGTGATTTAATTTTATTGTGTTAAAGACATGGATGAGGGCAATCCGGGAGGAGATGGTGCAAGCCAACAACATCAAGGATGACTGGTAAGCAGGACTTTATTGTTTTATAGGAGTTTCCCTAACATGAACTTAGCTTCATTTAGTTGCAATTTGTCCGTTATTTTACAGTCAAACTGTGTGGCCGTGGTCTGTAAAGAACCCAGTCTGACCAGGACAGACACTATAGGCATCATCGGTTGTAATAATGACATGCGTCAACCAAGTCAGCGTGTCCGACCCCAACGTCCGTCATTTTCATCCTCTACTAGTTGCAAAAATATGTTCTTACCCAGAAGGGGCGGTGGTGTAGCCTAGTGGTTAAAGCGTTGGCTCGTCACGCCGAAGACCCGGGTTCGAATCCCCACATGGGCACAATGTGTGAAGCCCATTTCTGGTGTCCCCCGCCGTGATGTTGCTGGAATATTGCTAAAAGCGGCGTAAAACCAAACTCAGTCAGTCAGTCTTACCCAGAAGCAAGGATAGAGATCGTTGTAGTGGTGTTGACTGTAGTAGTAGTGGTGTTGTTGGCGATGGTAGTGGTAGTAGAAGTAGTAGTAATAATAGTAGTAGTAGTAGTAGTAGTAGTAGTAGTAGTAGAAACAGCAGTGGTAGTAGTGGATGTTGGCGGTGGTAGTGGTAGTAGTAGTAGCAGCAGCACTGGTGGTAGTAGTAGTAGTAGCAGCAGTGGTTGTAGTGGTGTTGGCGGTGGTAGTGGTAGTGGTAGTAGTAGTAGTAGTAGTAGTAGTAGTAGTAGTAGCAGCAGCAGTGGTAGTAGTGTTGGTGGTGGTAGTAGTAGTAGCAGTAGCAGCAGTGGTAGTAGTGTTGGTGGTGGTAGTAGTAGTAGTAGCAGTAGCAGCAGTGGTAGTAGTGTTGGTGGTGGGTAGTAGTAGTAGTAGTAGCAGTAGCAGCAGTGGTAGTAGTGTTGTTGGTGGTGGTAGTAGTAGTAGTAGCAGTAGCAGCAGTGGTAGTAGTGTTGGTGGTGGTGGTAGTAGTAGCAGCAGTAGTAGTAGTGGTGGTGGTGGTAGTAGTAGTAGTAGTAGCAGTAGCAGCAGTGGTAGTAGTGTTGGTGGTGGTGGTAGTAGTAGTAGCAGTAGCAGCAGTGGTAGTAGTGTTGGTGGTGGTGGTAGTAGTAGTAGCAGTAGCAGCAGTGGTAGTAGTGGTGGTGGTGTCCACTACGGCGGTGGTGGTAGCCGTAGTCGTAGTAACAGTAGTAGCAGCAGCAGCAGCAGCAGTAGTAGTAGTAGTAGTAGTAGTAGTAGTTGAAGGAAGAGTAGCCGATGTTGAAAGGTGAGGACATTAGGAGAAGGTTGATGAGACCGGATAAGTAGAAAATAGCAGCAGTAGAAGTTGGAGTGCTGATACACAAAGAGCTGCTCGCCTTGATTGTATTACCTCACTCTGAAACAACTCTAAATGGCGCTGTCCACGTACCCTTTTCTCGGATGTAATCTACAGCTCCAATAAAAATATACATATATTACACAAACAGACAAGAATGATGATATCTGTAAACTTTTGTATTTGTACATATTTGGACATTTAAAACAAAATTCATTGATATAAAGATGACGTTCTGTTTCAATAGCTGTACATAAGAGTATATAGTGTGTTTCATCTGCAATGGCTGGAGAATCGCACAGAGGACATGTTCACGGGACAGGCCACGTCATTTGCCTGTTTTTCCTGGATAATTGTGGTTACTTGTTTTAATTTCAAAAGCGGGAGATACAATGATTTTTCGAGAAGTTAAAATAGTTCGAAAGACGGGATTAGTTTATAATTAATTCCTTTAGAGCTACTAATAACGGAACTGCGCCAGGATTGAAAGAAATGATCTCTTAAGGTGATTTCCACTTGTGATGAAACCCATTTGGGGGAATATTTACATGCATATGGATTTCTGAACACATCACTCATTCCGCATCTATTCAATATATCCTCGTACTAAGTCCAGGGCTATGGTGCTACTGCAACTCTACTATGTATGTTATTCTACTGTTTTTCATTTCACATCTTGTTTTTGAAAGAAGATAATAAATAAGCAGAAGAAAATATACGTTCATTTTCCTTTTATGTTCAACGCCTAATGCAAAAGTGCCATTGTCAAAATGGCAAGACCCCATAGGTTCTGGGGCTGTTGGGAGTGTCACAGGGAAGGGTTGACAGCTAGTACTTAGACATCACTCAACCATTCAAGTTGTGTGTTGGAGGAGTAGTCATGCTGAGACGTAGTCATAATGGGGAACCAGTGAAGGTGCGGGTTAGAATATTGATCTTCAGTAACCCATGCTTGTCGTAAGAGGCGACTAACGGAATCGGGTGGTCAGGCTCGCTGACTTGGTTGCCACATGTCATCGGTTCCCAATGGGGCAGATCGATGCTCATGCTGTTGATCACTGGATTGTCTGGTCCTGACTCGATTATTTACAGACCGCCGCTAATAGCTGGAATATTGCTTAGTGTGGCGTAAAACTAAACTCACTCACTCATTCATAATGGGAAGACACCCAACTACGTGTCTTCATATATAGAACATATACATGTCGCTGTATGATGATACGGCAGTCGATAGACGACGAATTACATAGAAGAATGGCGTCATGTAGTTTCAGTGCAGGGTCCCTGGCGTCCAACAGCTCCTCCAAAGATGTGTACGTCATCCTCCAGAAGCCGATATTTGAACCGCCGGAGAGTGACAGTGAAGAAGGTAGGTGGTAGCATCGACGTGGACCGTTATGGCTGACATAATAGATTATCTAGATAAACTGGAGCCATTCGTGACGACATCATCAGCCCGCTTATCTAAATAATACCAAAAGAGGTATTTTCGGGTCTTTTACAAAAAGTGTGAAAAATAACCAAAGTACAACAGAGTACGCGACATTTTGACCACTCGTTCCACTGTCACGGTTTGGTAAATGTGAACACATTTTGGTCGTTTTGGGAAGGGCAGCAATCCGGAGGCACGACAGTGGACCTTCAATTATTTGTATGTTGTTTAACGCCGCAAGCAGCAATATTCCAGGGAAATCATGTATAAACATACAGTATGGCATCAGAGGGGAATAGGTCGGAGACAATGGGTTTCGGGGATGTGGTTCTCCGTGTATCTATACAGTGAAGATCTTATCCTGACCAAGAAAACTAAAACACTTCTAAGTTTCTCTTTGGTTTTCGTAATTTTCTTTTTAGTAAAAATGGTGTGTATCGCTGCATTCGCACTTACATCATCTGTTTAATAGATTCAGAGGAAGACGACGAAGCGGAGGATGACTCCGACTATGACCAGATTAACGACTTGGATTTGGATAAAGCAAGACGGCCCCGGATTCCTCTTCCCCGTGAGTAGGCCTTAACATAGTCTGTCTCACAGTCCCTGAACCACATTAATTTCCCTACTGCCAAGCCCTAAATAAAGCAAGTCTAGATTTCCTCAGGTTCAGGGTCTGTTAACATCTGCAAGAAAACTAACTCATTTTGGGGGTCGGATTACAAAGTAAACCTACCATGGCTGGCTGGACCAACATCCTCACCAGTGGTCTGGAATCTTGCCTCACATTTTCATCTGTCAACTCTTAATTAACAAGCACATTGGGTGACATGAAGCTATAGTGGAGGCCTCGTGCACAGTTTCTGGTCTTGAAGAGACAAATCACGCAAAATCTTGGGGAAAGGTTCCTCCTGAATGTTATGTTGTAAAAAAGTATTGTTTCATTGTCTGACTTGGGTCCACACATAGCAGCCCAATTGTTAATGCGGTTAGGGATTTAATTGTAATTAAAACAAGGGTTATTTTTCTTATTCCTGATATAAGATTATTGTGTGAAACTCTGAATCTCTGGTCTCCCCTAGGGCTCCTTTTCAATATAAATGGGCTTGTTTGTTACTATCAAAATTATATATATTCAGAGACTAAGCCTTAGTCCCGCCTTAACATTATGTATGGTAAGTGAGTGGGTTTTGATCAGCACCGCTTTAAGCAGTATTCAGTTTGGGTCTGAGCGTGTCACTTTGATGTTGAAGTGATGTTGATATATTCTGGGATACGATGTCATGTTTCAACAAAGTCGGAGAGCCTGACCACCCGATCCTGTTAGTCGCCTCTTACGCCAAGCATGGGTTACTGGAGATCAATATTCTAACCCGGACCTCCACTGGTCCCTTAATGTTGGAGGAAAGCCCGAAATAATACAGTTCTTGAAGCTTCCCAGTTTTGTGAAACCCGCGAGCGTTTTCCGGTGTACCAGTTTTCGAACCAATTGTTCTCCAGCACACCAATGGGGGGCAATAATGTTCATTGCGGTGCTTTTGGCACCTGCTGCAACCATGTTTACTCAGAAGTCTATCACAAGTCGTTCTAAAACTGAAGCCAGGTTTGCAGTTTTGCTGCAATCGCTCCATTTAATCAAGTTGTTCATTTTGTAGACCAGGGCTCTTATTCTCGAAGCGTTCGTAGCCCTACGAACTTCTTAAGCCCATTCTTAACATATTGGATACGATCAAAGTTAAGAATTCTTAGGGCTACGAACGTTTCGAGAATAAGGACCCAGAACATTGAATGTTTGCCTCGTCAAAAGTATTGCACCGCCATATTTGAAGTGTGGCATGTATAGTCCCCTATAGGTCATTCTATGTATTGCCACACACTCTGCATACAGAATCGAAGACACCTTAGATGTCACAACATGCACGTTTGTCAATTGATCCTTTTCTATCAAGTCAGGGGTCTCACTGTGGAAATAGAAATTTGATCATAACATGTATTGGTATCTTTAATGCCAATACTTTTGATCCAAAGATCTTACTTTGTTGTAAAAGTGAAATGCCTAAGCGCCCTGTACCTGGAAATCAAAGATGGCGGTTCTATGGCATGCTCGAAAGTGGGATGTCATGTAGGGCTATTGGATCAGCGTTGACTGTAGAGATCTGAACGTCAACGAAAGACCAGTTCTAGAGAATACAGGGCCTTAACACCTTCAACATGTACTGCCCTACGTTGTGACTGGGATATCTACTATATCCGTTCCTATCCTGTGTTCATGGGCGACAGCGCTCGGACACATCCAGCACGACCTGTGACAGGTCATCTTCGGAACAATGTCACGGAGGCCAGGCCCCGATTTCTCGAAACAAACTTAAGTTATACTCAAATTTCAAGCTGAATTTGTGACTGAACTGCATTTTTAAAATTAAAAAAGCCCAAACAACTTAAGTAATCTATCCACCAAACTCACATTGTCTACTATGTTTGAGTTTAATATCGATTTCAGTCCATTCTGGGAAATGCATTTTCCTGTGTTTTCTCAAATTTGAGTAAAAACTCTAACTTAAGTCAAAACGCAGATTTAAGTTTGTTTCGAGACATCGGGACCTGATCTAAACCCAATAGAGCGTCTGTTGGATCAGTTAGGACTTGACTTAGAGCAAGAGACCCACCACCACAGAATCGTCTTGACCTGACTCAGGCATTGCGTTAGGACTGGCAACACATTCTCAGTTGGAGAATAAGCTAAACTGTGTAAGAGAAGGTTACTCCAGATATTGTGACAGATATTAGTGATACTGTCCCTCTGACGTGTATGTAGTTACTAACACACTCCTGCGTAGTTCTATTAAATAATAAATAATAAGTCGTCTTGTATAGGGCATAGTTCCAAACACCAAGTGATTGCACGCGGCGCTGTTTGTTAACACAGCTAGACTAGGCATCGGAAGAGAAAAGTTTTCAAGTTTGACTGGAAGGTAGACAGTGTTCCAGAGTTTTGAATGAAGAAGGGCAGATCATTCCAGATCACCCTCATCACTGACAGCTACCATACCTATCTTTCCAACATATATTCTTCAATACAGACCCCATTGTCACAGGCGACTAAAGTTTCTTTTCTCTGTGAAAATGCACATTTTGTTAATTGTTCTTCAAAAGAAATGTTTGTTTGATGTTCAGGAACACTTTTTATTGCTTTTAGTCTTCTTTATGCCATCTGATGTGCCAAAATATCGGTGATTTAATACCTTTGACGATATGTATATACTTAAACTAGTCGACGCAATGCATACCCGGGCTGGCTAGGTCTCCAGTATCCCATCCTTGTTGTGGGTGACGACGGATAGGGATCAACGTGTGACTTTGCACCTCGACCGTAAGTAGTTACTCGTGCTGTCAACTTCCTGATGGTTTGTTGTCAAATCATCGTATTACAGAGTCAGTATTACTATTTCTTCAAACATTCAGTTTGAGGATATAATATTCATTTGTGTTTCCTAGCAACCCCCGATGACCCAGGGTATAAGGCCCCCACAACAGAAGTCCAGAAAGCTCCGGCGAAACTGCCGCCACCAAAGCCACATAAGGCAAATTCGGAGAAGCATACGTATATCAACTCACCCAAAGGTCCAAAGACTAACAGTGTACGTTTCAGAACGGTTATTGTCATATCTATTCACATTAATAACTGAAAGACAATCATCCATTTTTCGTATTGTTTTTGGGTTTTTTGTTAAACGCCCACTCAGCAATATTCCAGCAATATGGCGTCGATATGTAAAAAATCGAGTCTGGACCAGACAATCTAGTGATCAACAGCATGAGCATCGATCTACGCTATTAGTGCATGTCATAAGCGCTGCACCATGCTGAAGGAAAAATTCATAACGAGTGTCGTTGCTATGATACTTGATCAGTTAAGTGTTCATTGTAATTTTGATGTGCAAGACTGCTGTGGACTATGTATACAATGTTCAATGTATTCCACTCAGCAACTATCAATCAGTAAAACACAATACAATTGTACCTATCAGTATTGAAACAATCTATCGTGCTCTAAAACCACATACTAAGCCACATTACCTGGGTCCCAATCCACAAAGCGTTCGTAGCGCTACGACATTCATAGGCCTATCGTAAATTGTAGAGTTACGACAGGTCGTAACGTTACGAATGCTTTCGGGGCCCTGGACAATAAACTAACTAGTGATCGTGTGTGTAGCTTCCGGCTCATGCGACTTCCTCTGCGGCCAAATCAGCTGTCCCGAAGCCGAACCCGAAGCCGAACCCGAACCCGAAGCCGAACCCGAAGCCGGTGCCTAAATCCGCGGCGATACCAGCACAACAACCGCCTAAACCAACACTGAAGGTTAAACCAGAATCTGCCCCCGTGCCAGACGAAAAGGAGTACTTCTTCCCTGAAAATAACAGAGACAAAGCACTGTCGTGAGTATATCCTTGCAACACCGGCCATCATATTACCGACATCCAGGGGCTATACTAAGAACAAATGGATCCACGAAGTTGGTCTTCAGTGACCCATGCTTGTCGTTAGAGGCGACTAACGGGATCGGGTGATCAGGCTCTCTGACTTGGTTGACACATGTCATCGTATCCCACTTGTGTAGATCCCTGTTCATGATGTTGATCACTGGATTGTCTGGTCTAGACTCGATTATTTACAGACCGCCTCCATGTAGCTGGAATATTGCTGATTTGCTAAATGTTCGTATCAAAGGGGAGTAAAAGTAATTTCTGTTATAGCCCCTTTGAGATGATTCAACATATCCTTGGTCTCCAGTAGCCTCTATAGTCTGTCATCGTACGAAAGCGGTTGCTGCTCGTGCTCTTATACCTGACCAAAACTAATGTGTACCTAACTGAAAGGGCTGGACTATGGCTAACTGTTGTGTCAAATGACATTCACATGTTATGATTACACAATGCCATTTAGAAAGTGAGTGAGTGAGTTTAGTTTTACGCCGCACTCAGCAATATTCCAGCTATATGGTGGCGGTCTGTAAATAATCGAGTCTGGACCAGACAATCCAGTTATCAACAGCATGAGCATCGATCTGCGCAACTGGGAACCGATGACATGTGTCAACCAAGTCAGCGAGCCTGACCACCCGATCCCGTTAGTCGCCTCTTACGACAAGCATAGACGCCTTTTGTGGCAAGCATGGGTTGCTGAAGACCTATTCTACCCCGGATCTTCACGGGTCCAGTTAGAAAGTGGTCAAATGTAGCATATGTTATATTTGGGAATACACTTTTTAAGTAAAGTACAGATTCTTGTACTTTTGTTGGGCTGAGTCCCATCCGGGATTCGAACCCACACCCTCAGAGTCAGGCACCTAATCGCCATCACACAAAGTCAGCCGCCTAACCCGCTCAGCAACTGCGACTTCCACCTTTCTGCGGTGGCTTAGTTTAAGGAAATATACTAGTAAATATGTTAATCACCAATAATGATTTTTGTTTTTAGTATTTTACGTGAGCAGAAAGACCAAGGGACGTATCTTGTGCGGATGTCTCGTTCAAATGACCAGAAGGTGCGCTTCTTCTTTCCAGATACGTAATATATATATATGATAAACGTTAACAACATCAACAGTATGTATCTATAGGTTAAACCTAAAGAAGATTTAGATACATTTTGTTGAAGATGACATGTCGAAAAGTACGATGAGTTTAAACATTTGGTGGCGTGGTGGCGCGTGGTCCTGTGCACAGATCTCAGGTCACGAATCAGTTGAAGTTAAGCAACGTCGTGCTCGGACAATCCTTGGATGGGTGACCGTGTTTGTCAGCTTGACTCCTGCGAGTTTCTGGGACTTCAGTCCTGCCCCACAACGAAGCACATGTGATACATGTGGTCTCACCTTAGGCAAGTGAGTTTGTTCAAATTGCCTCTGTTCACCCAGCAGAAAATGGGTATCCGGTTGGATAAAGTCATGTGACAATAACCTTCTAGCGCCTAACAGGCAGCTTGGGTTATCCGGGGTAATAAGAATCAGATTCTGATTAAGCGCCGCGAGCAATCACTTGGTGTTTAGAAACGTGCGCTACAGAAGATTACTTATTATTATTAATATTTGGTTTCTTTGTTCAGGTGCTCTCTGTGATGACAGAAAATGACGTCATTAAGGAATATAAAATAATGCAAAAGGTGAGAGGTTCAGCATAAAAACAGATGGAATTCGTCATCATAATTTCAATCAATTTGTCAAATATATATGTAGATTAGTCAGTGATGTTATAAACTGACTGATTTCACACTGGTATCACATATATAACGTAATTTTCATAACTGTGTGACCCGTGCAGATCCGGGTGAGAATTGGTCTTCAGCAACCCATGCTTCTCTGACGGGATCAAGTGGTCAGGCTCGCTGACTTGGTTGACACATGTCATCGTATCCCAATTGCGTAGATCGATGCTCATGCTGTTGATCTCTGGGTTGTCTGGTCCAGACTCGATTATTTACAGACCGTCGTCATATAGCTGGAATATTGCTGAGTGCGGCGTAAAAAGAGACTCACTCATACCTGTGTGATTGTTGAAATCGAGAACTTCCTAGAAACACATGGAATCCAAAGTTATTTAAGGTATTACATATCTAATAGGGGTGGGTATTGCAGAGAATTTTCATATTGAGATATATTGCGATGCGGAAGCATATATTGCGATATGTATTGCAATATATTGCAAGGATTATTTTGTTAACAAAAACTACTTATAATCGAGTTAATGCTTGATTATAAAGCAAAAACACAACAAACTCACTATGATTGATTAACCTTTTATACAAACTTTTGATCATGACAAAATAAAAATGTAAGTAACATTTGGCACTAATGTAACAGGGAAAAGAACAATTAAAAAAACGGAAATATCCGAAGATTTCCGAGTGTTACGAAGTTTTCCGAATGCATGTCAAAATACCTGTTTTCGATCAGCGTATCGCAATACGTATCGTTTTCATGTCTGAACCGGTAAATACCGGTAAACCGGTTATATTGCGCAGCCCTAATATCTATGAATCTTGTCATAGGTCTTAGGTCCTGCATAGGCCCCGCTCACCTTTTCGCAAGCACCTGGTATCACCACTATTCCATAGTGATTCACAAACGCATGTTCTGTCCTGGCATCTCATGGTGTCAATCACTTCATTTCTGGTCCAGACTCCATTGTTTGCAAGCCGCACCGTAAAGCTGTAATACTGCTGAAAGTCAAACAAATATATACTCCCGATAGAGTCAAAACTGTACAATATGCTCTGCTGTTATCAGAGATTTCTTACGAAAGTGGAAAGGGTTCTGTCGTTTCTAATTTCATAAATGCAATACTGTTCAAAATCAAGATCATGCACTCATTGATCTAAAATAGAAATGTTTGAATTATTTCAGGAGAAAAAGGTCACCATCAACAACCGCGACTTCTACAAGTCTGTGGGGGATCTTCTCGTTGCCTACAAAGGGAAGCCCTTACCGAACAGAACCACAAGTTTAGGGCGAGCCTATAGCTCCACGGACCTCCGGATATGAAGGATCTCCTTGGCTGGACGGATATTGGTCACATGCCATGGTTACAGCTTAATAGACATTTATTTGCTTTACGACAAGGAAGACGTGGGTTGTTGTAACGCGTCTACGGGGTCGACTGCAATTGTTTGCTTCAGGAAACATGGTTCTCTCCCTTCCTGGGAGAGGTTGTCTCCCCTCCTGGGAGGTACAACCTAACTGTGGTCTTGAGTAGTGTATGCAACATAAACATCTAACCAATGTATGTTACCAATTGTCTCATGGAAAGACGACGCTCCAGACTGTCAACAAAACCTGTTCTATTGCTTTAAGAGCCTTGATGACAATCTTGTGCGACACAGGGAGACCTATTCGCTGCAATGTACGGTGTTTGCGGCTGGAGACAGAGTTGCTCCCCTTGTTCTTAGGGGCGATCCACGTGACCAACTCGTGCCATTCCGGGACTATCCGAATACAGACACGTACCCTTCAGGGGGTTTTCATATTGGCAAGATTTGACACCACCAGCATCTGTCTGTAACATACAAGAAGGCCTACTCTCGATGGTAACCAGTCCAATCAGAATAAACTTCTGGATATTGGTACTTCGATCAACATAATTTCGATGTTTAAATTCATGTTTGTAATGGAGGTGTGTTTAGAAAACATGCTGTAAAAGGTTGATTGCCAATACCACCCGCAATGTGAATGTTGTATCATTGTATATATAATTTTGTTATAATAATATAAATTGATGGTTTTCCTTGTAGGACCATGTAGGATGATAGAATCATATGTTCAATTGGGTTTGTTTATATTCAGGAAACGACTGTCTTCACTGCGATATCCTTTCATTTGGTACCTAACTGAACTTTCGAAAACTGTCATCAGTTTTATATCCTATTGATGATATGCAAAGAGTCGAAAATGTATGAAAGTAATTACCTAATTCGCAATGTCAAAACACGTAATGTGCGTACATATGGACACGTTCATTATATGATAACTTGATGCAGACTTAATAACAGATATTTGAATATTTGTTTGTAAAAGTCCCAGAAAGCTAGAGCTTCATAAAAGACAAACGTAAGTTAGTTGGATAAATATTCAGATATGCTGAAATATTAGCATTCAGAGAGTGGATATGTAACTTTTAAATAAAGCGATACCTGAATTTTCGGAAGTCACTCACACTTTTGAAAATACTTGTGGATCATATCAAATTGCACAAAGTGTATGCCAGTTGATATCAATGGATACACGTTTTATTTGAAGACCAAAGTAATGTCTGAGAAAGTTATGCATGTAGACAGTATTATATAAAAACAGAAGCTCTCATTTTATCATTTCATTGAGCATTGAATGGAACACCCTACATGATCCAACAAGTAACAACGTCAGTTTTAGCGACATTGCTGAGTGGAACTAGCAATCTTCTTTTTTAGAGAAAAAGGAAATGCACTAACTCATTTTATCGAAACTGATTAAAGTAAACAGGATTGTATCGATCAAAGTATTTATGATTGGCTTGGCAGCCACTGAGAAAAGGAAATGTTGCTGGTTACAGGAAGATGCTAGTGATGGCAAAAGTGTTGAATCGTGTAATATCATTGTTGTTAAAAAATAGACATTATATGACTGTTTTTAAGGAATGATATTTCTCGTAGGTTGTCATGGGTGAGCAGTGTCTTGTGTACAGCCGTAGAGAGGAGACTTGTTCACTATACTCCCATCAAAGGTTTAGACTCACTTAAAGCACTCACTATATGTTATGCATATATATATGCATATATATATATATATATATATATATATATATTGCATAGATAAATAAAAACAGAATGCCGTTTTCGGAATATTTCGGATTTATATTTATATATTCCGTCTTCAACAAGAATATATAAAGCTTTACAGCTTAATAGAGACGATCTTTTGACAGGAACGATGAAACAAACCAATGAGGAAAAAGTAATTGCTTTTGTATCTACTTATAATCCGTTGAACCCAAATGTGTTCCAGAACACAAAAACAAATATGTGCATCTTAGAACAAGATGAAAAACTGAAATCAATGCTGAAATCTAGAAAAATAATAAATAGCAAAAGACAAAATCAGAATCTTAAAAAGATACTAACAAAAGCCAAATTTATTTTAAAGAAACAGAATTTACCAAATCCTACTGTGTCTAGATGCAACAGAGGTAACTGTGGAACGTGTCGACATATTGTTGAAGGACGCTCTGTAACTTTCACGAGACACGGAGAATTCTATGTAAAACAGAATTTTGACTGCTCTTGCAAAAACATAATATATGTCATAACATGCACAGGCTGTAATGAACAGTATATTGGTCAATCAGAAATTTAAGAGCCCGGGTTCGTGTCCACAAACAACAAATAAAGTGTCCTGAAACCCGATGTATCCCACTGAGTGAACATTTAGATGTCTGTGCGAAAGGAAACGATGTTAAATTTACAATATTTCCTTTTTATCAAGTTCAAAATTCGGACAAAGTAAAACGAATTTTAAAAGAACACTACTTCATAGACAAGTACAAACCAATGTTAAACCATTGCAAGCTGTGAGTATCTTAGACAGCGATTATCTCTGACAGACAATGTGTGTGACACGCAAGTCTCGCAGTTGATTCATGTAGGACACAGATTCTCCACAAGATTAAGATATTAAACCCCATTGATATTGTAATCTGGTAGTTCTGTCAGAGGACGGTGCAAAATATGATTTTTTTATTGCACATTGGTAACCCTCTGATACACACTCATTTTGTCAATATGGATGACCACGAGCGTGATCATCTATTTATAAAAAAATGTCAGTTCTTAAAATAATCAAAGTTTAGGATGATAATTTGAGAAAATTGAAGGAACACAATGAATGAGTAAATCGCCCGATGAAATATCAAAGGATATTGTGCCAAATGATTTGCAGCCAGATTAGTTACCGCTTCCAGAAACATCTTGCATCCAAAGCATGAATACTTCTGGTCAACGCTAGGCAAGTGGATAATTTAGAGGTGTGACGATACAGAAATTTCACGATACGATACGTATCGCGATATCTTGGAACGAGACGATTCGATGCATATCGCGATATGCAACCTATAATATTTTCTTCAAAAAGTACATTTGTTAGAAAGATACAGTGTAAATTTTGACAAAACCATCAATTTCTAGTGACAATTAACAAGTTTAAGGTCAACGTACATATAACGATACGAAAAAAAGTATCGATATATTTATCGTCAGATAAAGTATCACGATTATCGATACTGCTCTAGTGGATATTGCATTGATTTACTGCGCTTACTAACGGTAGCTCCCACCAGGCAATTCCCCTGAACGTTTTGGCATTTAGAATTAGATATCTAGTGGGGATTTATACTTGAAATATTTAAGTGAAATGGACGCCGGAAATTCCAGTGCACATGTACTGCTCTAAAAGGAACAAATAGATGGATTCGGGTGGTTTTGTGTTTATGTGGAAACGGTATTATTAGAGAGACATTCGTACATATAATGTCAACATTTCATTAATATTATATCCTTGTGTCGTTAGTTTTAGGCATTATAAGAAACATGGCCATGCCTTGGGGACGACTGCATAGGTATATAATAAGTCTTATACGTGTTAAATTTTGTTGATATTTGGAAAAGGTTATAAACGTTATTTCTCTGTAATAAAGAATGGCCGCTTCAGTTCTCCAAAAAGCGGAATGGCAGTGACGTCATCGAATTTCTTTCAGATGACTGGCTGACAAACATTGATCTCACTTAAACAATTTGATCCACAGAATGAGAAATGATACCAAACAAATATATACAAGTTTATGTTATTTCTCGTGAATAAAAGAAATGTCACATTCTCAACACCTTCAAATCTGTACATATCGCAGGTGTGTTTCTTTCTTATCGTCTTGAAACGGACACCAGAATTCAGAGCGCACGCCCACTACTCTAAGAGGTATTGATGTACGTAATTGTGCCAAAGGGGTGTTCACCAAACCAACGACACATTCATGACGAACACATGGTCGGAGTTCCTCGGGTTGGACAGTTTGGCAGTGGTACCACAGTTCTAAGCGACCTGGGCCTAGATTTTCGAAGCTCTCTTAGCGCTAAGATAGTCGTAAGTTAATGGTAATGTATAGCGCTTACGACTATCTTAGCGCTAAGAGAGCTTCGAAAATCTAGGCCCAGGCTAGTCTGTCTCACACTCCCTGAACCACAATATTTTCCCCACTGCCTAGACCTCCCTGTAATGCTAAAGCCCCAAATATAACAAGTATGTAGCTCCTTTTCAATTTAAATGGGTTTATTTGTTACTATCAAAATTATTTATATTCAGGGACTAAGCGTTAGTCTACCACAGTTCCTGAGAGACGACATGTTGGGATCAGAAGCCTCAATGTCGGACCGACCCGGAAGGACTCTAGATACGCTTGACTGGTCTGGTTTATTCTGCTACATTCCGAATGAATAATAAATAATAATAAAGATCTGGAAAATATCGTTACGTCATCCCATGACGTCAGAATGATCGTAACTCCCATACTGTAACACAGACTTACGACAGTCGTAGGGCTACGATCGCTTTGTGAAAGGGGCGCAAGATCAGAAAAGTGAGATTCGAGTGTTTTCTAATCATGCGGTATCGACACGGTTAACACGTGGTATTCGACAGTTACGTACAGTTCGACTGAGTCTGTGAAAATCATCGTCGATCTCTTGCTTCAATGGATAATCATCTAGAGATTTTTGGAAGTTTTGCCATGCACTAGAAACGAATGGAAGTAGCCAGTTAAAAACTAGAAAGGTGCTTTCTGATTGGCTAATGTTGATTTCTTGTTACTTTTTTCATTCGTCCGTCGAAGTTCGAGAAAGGTTGCACTGACCTGACGTGTAACTGGATGCCTTAATTGGACGATATTTGTTCAACGGTAGCGAGAACCGAGAATCGTTTTAATGAGTTTGTGTACGCAATATGGCTATCCTTGCCAACATTTCTTCAAGTACAGTAAGTCATACCTAAGGTCTTTGAATAAATCCTGTAAAAACCTGCAAGAGCATCATTTTTTTTATCTGTTTCACGTAGCCACCAAATTCTGAACATGGGTCGGTCGGTCGGGGAAAATGTTTTTAATAAAAACAAATTATCTGAATAATGTTCTTGATTTTCATTTATTGTAATTACAATTTCTCGCGTTCTATGGACTTGTGGCAGCGACTGGTTATAAGATAAACATATTATATGACGAGGCGGTACGTTTAAGGATCGAATCGGCGGTGTTGGAATGAAAAAAAATGCTTTTGCTCTTTTTTTTTTCCTTTTTTGTTACTTTTGTTCTTTGCTTGTTTGTGTGTGTGTGTGTGTGTGTGGGGGGGTTTGTCGGTAAAAAAACTTGTATGGTCGGTCGGGAGATGAGAAAAACAAAATAAAGAAATGCTGCCCTAAAACAAGCTCCAACATCCATACAGTTTCACGCTCTATTATGATTCATAAACTTATGAACTCATACGATGTGAAATCAGTTCGGAAATAATGCTATCAGCCTTGGGATAATATTTACAAGGGGCGGATCCAGGGGGGGTGCAGGTATGTGGATCCAGAGGGGGTGCAGGGGTGCGCACCACATCCCCCAATTGACCATTGATCATTGAAACTCTCGTGAAAACGGGTAAAAATTAATTGCGCACCCCCTTTCTCAAAAAGTGCATCCGCCCCTGCAACATTTTGCAAATGTTAATACTTCATAAGTATATTTCTAAAGTGAAGATTATACATAGTACTAGTATACGGCTTTTCGACAGGACAAGACACCGGGGGGGAAACAATCATTCCTTCAGTGAGCAATCTCATTAAAATCAGATCTCTTATCAAATAGTGAGTCAGTGAGCTTAGCTGTACGCCGCTTTTAGCAATATTCCAGTAATATCAAGGCGGGAGAACACCAGAAATGAGCTTCACACATCTGGAGAATCGAACCCGGGTCTTCAGCGAGACGAGCGAACGCCTTAACCACTAGGCTACCCCACCGCCCCTTAATCAAATAGAAACTCCTCCGCGTTGAAGATGTAACGGATACCTCTTCAGAAGCTGGTATCACCTATGGAGGTATCCTCAGGTATTGAAGTCTGTATCCACATCTGATCTGTAGGATACTGCGAGAGAGAGTGAATGTGGTCAATAACATCGAGGCTGTAACTTCTGTAAGTGGCATTTAGAAATTGGTGTGATGAAGGGGGACACTTTTATGGACAGACTCCTTATTGCAATAGATGCGTTTCGGTGTAGATCCAAATACAGAAATATATACATGAAGGGTATTTGAGTTTAAACAATTGAAGAGGTATGGATACCACCACTGCCTTTACATAATCGAGTTTGGCTGGGCGGTGGGGTAGACCCGATTCGATTCCCCACATGGGCACAATGTGTGAAGCCCATTTCTGGTGTCCCCCGCTGTGATATTGCTGAAATATTGCTAAAAGCGTAAAACCAAATTCACTCACTCACTAATCGAGTTTGGCAAGGCAAACCAGAGACGTATATAATAAGTAATGTCAACGGTTTCAACCGGATCACTCATTGTGACCATCCGATCCCCCACACGAGTCAAATGGTAGTCAGCGTCAGTTGATACAAGATACTAGTCTATACGACATTGAACACAACATGAGTCTGTTCCTGCATGTTGCCAGGCAACGCGTAGAGGGGTTCGCAATGTCACGCCTGGCTTATCCAGCAGGCCTCCAGATGAAAACTGAAATTGTTTTATTGCCTGGTCAAGGTGGACGCTAATGGACCTCCCAAAAAGTTGTTCAACATTTATGACTGACTGACTGACTGAGTTTGGTTTTACGCCGCTTTTAGCAATATTCCAGCAACATCACGGCGGTGGACACCAGAAATCAACATTTATGACGCACAATCGCTCTGGATTTAGTGGTAAAAGTCAAATCTATTTATGACGAAAGTTGTTGTGTGGAATTGTTACATGCAGGATGTACATGTAGTTGAGCGAGTTAGATGTGACATAATGCCGTTTTTCAGTTAACCGAAAACGTTAGGGATTTTGAATAATATGGGGGTTATTTTAAGAAATAAAATGTGTACTGGTGAACATTACTATTTTGTATTCGACAAAAAGCTGTAGAATTATCCCAGTGTCCAATGAGATAATATACAATTTGATAACTTTTGGACTCAGGAACTATTATGATCCCCATCTCCATCTCAAGTTTTAACACATTCACGAAGCTGGTTTCATTGTTCTTGACTTCGAGTATATTATCTGCCTTCGTCTTATCTCAATAACCCGATTACCTGCATGAGATAATGGGGTACCGAAATTAACCCACACGATATGTTGGTCGGGCGGTACCATTATGACCACTAAGGGAGGAAGGCGATAGAACAATAGGTATATTTTCATCACGGGAGGAAATACGTGACATAACGTCCGATTCATTAACCCTTTCCCACAAACAGATCGGACATGATTGAAACAAGTATTTCCAGTTGGCGTTACTGACATCTGAGGAAATTCCACCAGCGTGAGTTGTTACCCCGCACTTCCTGTGGCGGCCATCTGTAATGGTTTGGCCCACGGATCAGCGAGAGAGAGGGAGGGCTACAGGCGGGGGATGAAGTATAGGATTACACATCTATTTCAGTGCAGCCACGTCAGTTTCTGGAGCCACCATTTTTAAGACACAGGTTTACTGGGTGTTTGTTTTGCTCATCTTTGACGAAAGTTGGAACAGAGGTCCATCTTCAAGATGAATACTCTATGGCTGGTCGCCCTGTGTGGGCTAGTTGTCGTCTGCTATGCAGGTACGCTGAAAGGTTGTGGAGAGTGTGACAGAAGTGCTTGCCCCTCTGTCTCATGTCTGGCTGGGAAGATACAAGATGAGTGCGGATGCTGCGAAATTTGTTTGAAGATGGAGGGTGAGGAATGCGACCACAAGTTGAAGCCCGAGGGGTACGGCGACTGCGGCACCGGACTCATGTGCAGCAAGGTGGACGTCGGACACTACTGCCTTTGCGAAACTGAGGAAATCATATGCGGAAAAGATGGCGTCACATACAACAACGTCTGTCAGATGTACGCTGCCGAGGCGAGGAGCGGTAAAAAGATTATGATTGAGAAGTCAGGACCCTGCGAACCAGGTACAGCATTTGTTTACAATTTTTATTATTCTGATCCATACAAGAGTATGATCCTAAGATGGTATATCGTAAAGATTGTCCAAAATGTTCCTCCAATTATATATATGGGAGAATCGAAGCACCATGGGCACCCATTAACGTAACTGGTGAGATTCTCATTATTTCACGTTCAACATAATCAGTGAATCTGTATCAGACAAATGGCTGAAATTTGAGTATTGTAATAGATAATGAAATTTCAAACGAATTCGCAATGTCGAAACAGAATGAGATTCCGTACCTCTCACCATTGTCTTTTTGCCATTTGACCTCGGTTCTGATTGGTCAGTTCTTTCATCCGGTAAACATTTGTTTATACACGATAGCCATTTCTTCAAGTTTTTACTCAAAGTATTCCATCTATATTCGTAAAGAATATGTTTAAGGTAGACTGTTTCTATAAAACGTCTATCACATTATATACAGTCCGTTAGATACATGGAACATCTCGCCCAAAACTGATTCGTCAGCATATTTTTTATAGGCGTCGTTTTTTTATTTTATATTATATATTTTTATGTATATTTATATTATATGTGAACTAACGGTCACAGTATGAGACAAAGGCAACACATGCAGATGTGTAATAACGTCGTATTTTAAAGTTTTTATTAATACAGAAAATTTCTATCGATAATGTCATGATTTTAAAAAAAAATACGATGAAAACGTAATGACCTTTTTAAAAAAATTAAACACTTGGTTATATCTTCCGAAGGATAACAAATTGATGCAATGGCCGCCATCTTGCCAACCTACCACACATGAGGTTACGTCATCGACATCGCCACATGTAGATAAGAGTGTTGGTCTGTTGTTGTAAGACAAGAAAACGACACGCGGGTGTGAGCGGTGACAAACAGAATATTTACGCAACTTGAGTCACAAGGCCTTATGTAAACTTAAGTTGCGTTGTTGACAAGGCGTGTAGGTGTGAAAGCCCAGGGGTGGAAAAACTTTAAAATTGCGTTGCGCTGTTGGAATTTTTCCACTAAGTGGATAAAAAGCGTTTCAACTGGACATCGGTACAGCGTGACACAAGTCCCATTGAATCACTTGCTTGGATACTGTTTACCCTGGTCAGCTCTTTATGGTGTTTGTAGGTAACGAACGTTTAGGCTTCCATTTCCATTGTCAGAAGATTGACGCGATTATAAAATACTGGACACATGTATGAGTTATTGACCGTACATGTTAAGTATGCATCGGTATATGAATATATATTGTAATAGGATATTGTGAATCTGAATGTTTGAGTTTACGTACCGCGCAGTAGAAAGAGGAACTCTCAGTTTGCATTAATAAATACTGTTCTGGGCATTTGGGTAGCTGAGTTGTTAGTGCTGGGTTCGTCAGGACCAAGTGGCCTGGGTTCGATTCCTAACATGGTTCAGTGTATGGAAGCCCCTGACATTATATGACTGACATACAAGTATTAATGGAAGCAGTAAGAATCAGGCTATCACTAGTTTTGCTACTGCTACAATTTGAACAGATCCCCAACAACCTGTGCTGGTTAAGCTTGATGTCATCTTTCGAAAGCAAGGGACGTTTTAAGTTCAAAATTAAGAGTTGTTCTGGACTCATTCTGGATCTTATTCAGTGTTCATTTGAAACTTTTGTGAAAAAAAATCTGGATATATATTTTCACATACAATTATACTATTTCTGGGACTAAGTGGCAGTCTGCGGCCAGGTACATTGTGGAAACAGGACTTGTGTAAACCCCTAGCCTCCGGCAGATTTACCCCAACGTCGTGGATCACTGTTCACATCGTCAATCACTGGATTGTCTGATCCAGGCTCGACATTTTACAAGCATGGGTTACTGAAGATCAATATTCTAACCCGGACCTTCACGGGTGGTAACGTAACTAAATGTGGCGATCAACAGCAGGTTTTTGTGTTGCTCCTGCCTCTCTAACCGCGGTCTACTTTTGTCCATAACGACACAGATATTCGAACGTCTCCTGACCAACATCACAAAAAGGCTACAAGTAAATTAAATAGAACTTAACAAAACAGGCACCATTACGACAATGGGGAATACCTCTCTCCGAAACTAACCTGCGCTGTTGAGTTACCATGAGATAAGATACCCTATTTGTATGACCTACGGGCATTCCTCCGTGGAACTACGTGACCTAATTCCTCCAAGACAGCCCCCGTGGTCTGATGGCCAACACGTTGGATATGAGGCGGGTTCCCCAACATCCGTTCCCATTGTTACCATGGTGATGCTGGCGATATAAAATCTTCCACATCAAACTCCGTGAACTGGAAATTATGTAACTACGTGGTTTGTTCAGTGTAACGTTTCACGTCATGTCGTGTTGTGGGAACTGAAAGCCTAGGCGCTATTTGCGCATCAAGCTGGGGTCACTGACTGCCTCTCGGCATCAGTGGGAGGCTTGTAAGCAATGGGCCTGGCCTGTTGGAATATGGTTTTGTTTAGGACGCCAGGGTGATTCAGGTTGATGCTCAACAGTTTATAACAGTAGGCGAGGCGGCGGACATCATGCACAGATGGTGAGGCTGGGCGACTGCGTTGTATAGTAAATAGACTGGCACAAGTCTCCCAGGAAGTGGTTATTTGATTAAATCATGATTTCTCGATTGAATAAATAAGAACACGTTGTCCCAAAGAAAGACTGGCGTCATTAGCCTGTCCGCTGATTTTGACGTATTATAAGGATAGAAATACTATACATCCATGGATTTATCACTTAGTACAACCTTGGACAAAGGCTATTTACAAGAGCCAAAGATTGACACTTATTCCCAGAAATATAGTTAAGGTAAACATTTATATCTGCAAAACACATAAGGAAAATCCATAAAGGGAACAATTCATAATTTCATTTTATGCTTGAAGTAGACTTCTTATATAATGTATTATCTACGGTCTTGGAGACAGACTACTGGAGCCGGGGGTGCCAAGATGGCTATATAACGGGATACCTAGCCAATCCGGACGAGACCGTTCAAAGTGGAATCTTGTAATGTTGTAATTGGCAGGAATGTGCTTTATACCTATTCTTGTAACGTGGCAATTATCAGGAATGTGTTTCATACCTATTCTTGTTATGTGGCAATTATCAGGAATGTGTGTCATACCTATTCTTGTAACGTGGCAGTTGGCAGGAATGTGCTTCATACGTATTCTTGAATTGTGGCAATTATCAGGAATGTGTGTCATACGTATTCTTGTAACGTGGCAATTGGCAGGAATGTGTTTCATACCTATTTTTTGTAATGTGGCAATTATCAGGAATGTGCTTCATACGTATTCTTGTAACGTGGCAATTGACAGGAATGTGCTTCATACCTATTCGTGCTTAGGGTTTCAACAGGGCTACTGTATCACCATGGTAACAACGCTAATATGGAGACCGACAGCGTTGCTCATCTGAGGAATATCACTGGAAAGATCATTCATTCATTCATTCATTCTGCAGGTGCAACGATCGTGACACCCCCCGAGTTCAGCCGCAACTTCACTGGTGGGTCTGTGATTCTGTCCTGCGAGGCTATTGGCAACCCTACCCCCAACATCGCCTGGCTCTTCACCAGAGTGGACGGCAAGTCCTTCTCCGTGCCAGGTCTGTATTGCTGTACCAAATAATGCTGTTGTCAAGGCAACATCAACACATATTGTGCCATATCATGCTGTAGTGATATATTATACATATAGTGAAATCCATCACTCGAAACAGTACTTTTCATGAAGTACCCTTAGGTTAAACACTGTATTGGATCAATTAATATTTACAGAGGTACAGATAAGCTGCGTATCTGCGTACATTACGCAAATGTTTACGTGAAAACTCAGTTCCTATTAAGTCTATTGCATACAAGTACGCTTGATTTTGTTTGTAAATACTCAATAAATGTGATCATGCGTACACACAAAAATATAAAATCTTAGCGCGCACTGGTGGATAGATAAAATAACTAAGTAATATTGAGAGGTTCTATTTCAGCACATAAACTTGGCAACTGGCAGTCTTTCTTATCGTTTCTCATTTTACAGATCAAATATAAATAATAAACACGTTAACTAACTTTATTATATTTTTACAATTAACGGAAAATGGCAAAGTACCCAAATGAGTTTGAGTGAGGTGGGTACAATTTATTTGGTTACTCAAAGGAAAATTAGGATACCCAATTGAGATGAACACAAGCCAGTACAAATGTACATAACTCAATGACCCAAAAAGTTATCTATAGGTCTGTTATAAAGATTCTGTTCCGTTTCCAAGTTGAAACAATAAATTAACCCAGAAAACAGTAAAGCAAAAGAATTTAGTATAAAACAAAAAGACACCAATAAAATGGGGTATAATTTACATTTGTACTCTAAACAAATGTATTCGCAAATCAATACAAATCATTGAAAATATTTACAATGACAGTAGAAAATGGAGTGACTGTACAATTATAATGACAATATTATGTAATACTACTGTTCACAAAATAGGAATAGGCTGAATATCGAGGGTGAAAATGATCTTCACTCAGTCGCTGGTGCAACGTGAGATGATAAACGCACATTCATATATGTTAGTAAACTTTCTGAAATGTCTGGATGAATATATATTGAACCCAATCTAAATACATTTAACTACATCCTTACTTGGTTTTTATAGCCGCGACACTCATATTTTAGTCGCAATGCATGTACCGAACTACGGTTATGACGAACTGAAATTAATATACATGTAGTTACTTATAGCAACAAGCATACCACTGTCCGCTACGGAATTTTAACAGAAACCATGTTTTACAGTTACAACATTTTAACAGAAACCATGTTTTACAGTTACAACATTTTAACAGAAACCATGTTTTACAGTTACAACATTTATTTGCTGTGAATAACACCAGAATATATTATGGTTCACACTATATAAGTATAATATGTAGAGGGGCACTGGCAGTCGGAACTGGGACAACTGGAAAAACTGAATAACGGTGTTAATTATTTATCTGTCAATTAGCACTAATCTTTATCTTACATGAAAGCTATTTGAATTTACAGTTAGTCGTGTTTTTATAAATTTCAATGTACTTGATCTCAGGAATCATTGTAATTTTAACAGAAACCATGTTTTACAGTTACAACATTTTAACAGAAACCATGTTTTACAGTTACAACATTTTAACAGAAACCATGTTTTACAGTTACAACATTTATTTGCTGTGAATAACACCAGAATATATTATGGTTCACACTATATAAGTATAATATGTAGAGGGGCACTGGCAGTCGGAACTGGGACAACTGGAAAAACTGAATAACGGTGTTAATTATTTATCTGTCAATTAGCACTTATCTTTATCTTACATGAAAGCTATTTGAATTTACAGTTAGTCATGTTTTTATAAATTTCAATGTACTTGATATCAGTAATCATTGTAATTTGACTACAAAGTTGACTTCAGATGCCCCATGGTGCACAGAGTCTGTGATATAGACATGTCTGACTCATACCTTGCGATGTGGCGTTAAACAAACTCTTCGCATCTGTTTTGTTTTCAAATTATTACAAATAATAAACATTTCGACACATGTTGGCTCGGTACACGACGACGCAGTGGGTACTGAAACCGTTGTACCCTCGAGATATGCCTCCAACTTATGATGTATATGAAAAAGGTCAGGGTTTCGTTTGATCATTAAAATGGCCACCGACTGAATAAATTTGGACAGGAGAATACAGACAGATCTATGATGTGGAAACAATTATGTTTTAAGATATTGAAGCTTTATTCAAAGAAACAGTAAGAAATAAATGGTGTTATCTATTATCTTCTCTACCATTTTATCTGACCGCCTCCGTGGTGTAGTGGTTAGAGCGTCCGCCCGGAGAGCGGAAGGTCGCGGGTTCGATCCCCGACCGCGTCAAACCAAAAGACGCTAAAATATGGACTTGTTGGTCCCTGCCTGGCGCTCGGCATTAATGGGTACAACAAGGACTGGTCGGCTCGGAGTCAGTATAATGTGTCTGAGTGGGATATTCATGCTTCACTGCGGCATGGTATCTCAGTGGGCTAGCACTATAAAACCAGCTTCAGTCTGGGCTAGTACAAGCAGCCGCACATACACATACACACGCATGCACGTCGTCATATGAGCGAAATATTCTCAAGAACGACGTAAAACCCAATTTCACCTCACAATTTTATCTAACAGTAATATTGACACCCACATTACCACACAGACTGTTCGTTCACTGTGGCAGCATGTTGTTTAATGTTGAGTTTATAGTCAAGAGGAATTTAAAGTAAAGGCACAATTTCACACATTTTCGACAATATGTTGGCCTATATTACATATATTGGGACATATGCACTCACTTTAGCTTCCTATTGATACAATAAAAGACTTATAATTATCCCTTACGACTTGCCTGAAATCAATAATTCAAACTTCGATGCGAAAAGCTTCCAAGCAGAATTGTCGGTGTTTGCCGAACTGGTTTCAATCACAAGTTGTGCGTAGGATTTTGTAAACAGCGCTACAAGGGACATAACTCTATGGGGTTCGCGTGAAATTAAATGTTCGGCCGATAGAGGGCGCGGGAGTCGATTTAAGGCAACATTGCATTCCATTCGTTCGAACTTTTTTTTTAATATTGCAATCTAAATACTAGTATGTAATTTTCTTTTTGAATAAATTATATGATAGCTGCCCTGAGGGCTGATAGTTAGTATTATTGAGAGAAATGAATTATTCATTTTTAGAGAAGTGTGGTATGATATAGTGCCTTTAAGTGAGGGTAAATGGCGTTCGTGAAGTTTACAGTTAGTATCTGTTTCTGTGACAACCCAGGCGATGACAAGTGCGTGCTGACCGCTACCCGTGGGGGACCAGGTGCCTTCCAGATCACCGGCTGGCTGCAGATCGAGGGTCTGAAGAAAGTCCACGAGGGTGACTACACGTGCGTAGCCAAGAACACCGAGAGCAAGGACTACGCCAAGGCTAGGATCAAGGTCGTTGATGGATCTTTGGTAGGTCAAGGTCGCATCTTATTTGATGACGTTGAATGTGGAATAGCATGGTTAGGAGGTGGGACCTGTATGCAAGGAAGGAATGTTTTGCAAAACGGCAAAGGTCTGCTTATAGTGACATCAGTTTCATGTGTAACCATCACAAATAGGGATAGTACACCACAACACAACCAAAGAATTCCGTATCATTACAGTACCGTAAAATGGCGACTGGTAGCTTTGTGTATAATTTGTTTGAGTATCGCAGCTAGTACTCACTGGATTTTTTTTTAAAAGATGGACTGACCAAAATGATGTTAGTAGCCAGACCTGTTAAGCGCTCGCTCGTCACACGAGAGGACCCGTGAAGATCCGGGTTAGAACTGATATTAAGTAACACATGCTTGTCATAATAGGCGACTAACGGGATCGGGTGGCCATGCTCGCTGACTTGGTTGACACATGTCATCGGTTCCCAATTGCGTAGATCGATGCTCATGCTGATGATCACCGGATTGTCTGGTCCTGACTCGATTATTTACAAACCGCCGCCATATAGCTGGAATAGTGCTGAGTGCGGCGTAAAACTAAACTCACTCACTCACACGAAAGGCTCTGGTTCTAGTTCTTTATGGCAACCAGTGTGAAACACATGCTTTGTCTCGCGGGGATATTGTTTGCTCGAATGTTGCTAAAACCCACGTAATCAATCATTTGATGCTGCAACTGGGTGTTAAGCGGGTCGACCATCAGATGGGAACAACCTGTAAATCCTGTTGATTATTACAATGGATTACTGATAATAGCTAAACGGGTGTAAACACTACTGCCCAACGAACTGTCCTCTAAGAACCATTCATCCTGGATTATTCTGGGCTTAGGCCTATTATTATTATTATGATAAACTTCCTAGATAAGTGACGTCACGAACTAAGGACCACTTACCAGTGATATGTTATCACTGTCGTCATGAAAATTATTTGATCTTACACTGAGACCTAAAACTGGTGGGGTGGGGAAGGGGAATGTATCCAGATTGTGTACCGTAACCCCAGTACAAATTTTCAAAATCAAATCTAATAATACCCATAATATATGTACAACGCGACCTTGAATGAAGCACGCCCTATATTTGTATTTAAAAATCGTGTTTGCGTCCTAATGTTGTGTATACGATTCTTGGCCGAGAAGAACTCGCGCACATGGCTCATTTTGTGTGTTGACACCGTGCAAAGGTCGGACACGATACAGTAAAAAAATTCGTTCATTTAAGTACCGAAGTATGGCTCAAGGCGTCATTGTCTCCGCGGGTACTACAGATGTGTACTCCAGATTTGGTTTAGGGTTCACTTGTGTACATATCCGGGGTACTATCTGTATAGTACCCGTACCGACAACGACCTTTTCAGCTGAAGTAAGTGAGACGAAGACAGTCTATTTCTGTAATTCAGTCGCCAATTGCTAGGCTTAGTTTTTTTCTAACTAGGTGCGTGTTTATTCAACATTCTTCGACACACGCCTTTTCGAACACTTTATAATAACTGCAGACACTGAGGGAACTAAATTCAGGTTCACCGGTTAGATACAGTTCCTGGGTCACATGGTCAACTGATCGGGGACGGCTCAAGTTTTGGAAATGTAATTTCATTATTGGTTACAGTTTTTGCTACAACAGCACAACAGTATGAATAGATAAGTATTTATGGAGATCTTGTGATAATTGAAGTGAATTATATATATGTAAATTTCACTATTACGACAAATTGTGAGATGATCTCGCTCATGCTTAGGGGTTTTTGTTTACTAAGTCTGCAGGCTGGGTAATCGTAATCGAGTATTAACAAGCATTTCCTTCACAACCCGTGAAGATCCGGGTTAGAATTGAGCTTCCCTAACCCATGATTGTCGTAAGAGCCGACTAACGGGTGGTCAGACTGGCTGACTTGGTTGATATGGCATTGTATCCCAATTACGTAGATCGATGCTCATGCTGTTGATCACTGGATTACCTGGTCCAGACCTGATTATTTACAGACCGCCGCCATATAGCTGGAATATTGCTGTACAATTAAACTCACTGGATATTGTCCGCGCACGTACTACCGAAATCAAACCCAAAGGGTATTATTCTCATATTGTGTGGGGAATTATAAAGTAGTATGCAAATTTACATATGTGTGAAGTATACAAAATTAATGCATTCGAATTTTATTCAATAATTGGTATCCCAGCTGAATTCAATACCGTACTGTATTACGTGAAATTGTAATGCTTAAAATAGATTAAGGTTGACTAATTTGCAGTAAGGTCTTTTGAGATTTTACAGGACTATTTTTACCCATATAATCTTTTGAACCTCTAATTTCTAATACGACAAAACGATTAAATTTCATTTTTGTTTTGCAATAATAGATTCTTGTTAACGGGAGTAAAATCTATGGATTTATACTGTTTCTTTTTGTTTCAGGTGTGAGAGAACCACCTACTAGCTGAAGCTCACCTCTAAACAATTTTTCCGTCTGTATGTTTGTCTGTCGGTCACATGATTGCAGCAGGGAAATAAGCACCATTTAAAGAAGTCGTTGTTGAGCCCTTCGACGATTCGTCACTTTTCGTTCATTTCCGGATTGCGCGACTTGCACGAGGGGTGCCAGTCGAACAGCTGCAGCGAAAACACTCCACTCCGTCTTGAAGCAGAAATACCAGTTCTTCAACATCCCGTCTCTTGCACCAGTTGACATTCTCCAAGGTGACATGCCAGTAATGGCTCACCAGGCAGACTCGCAAACAACTGCAAAATAGATCAGGGAAGCCAAGTATCCTCGGACAGTTTTCTCATTCAGACTTGATCGGAGTTTGTTTACGGACATAGCCGATATAAGCCGAATGTATTGATACTGATTCCAGTTTGGAATTGGCTCTGAAGAAACTGGTTTCCGTTTGGTGATGCATGTAAAGTTGAACTTGCTTGATTCCCTGTTGCCGATTACTATTGAGTGATTGTATAGCATGCATATTGATATTTAACTTAATTGATTTCAAATGGTGCTAGAGATTAAATGTCAGATCCATGTGTAAACTATGCACTTATAGCATTGATGTTAGGCCTTTCATAATTTCCATGAATGCATAATTGTGATATACTGTTTATTTTGGTACACTCCTCCAAGTATTATTTTTGTGAAATCATAAGCTCAAAACCAAACTGACTGTCCATCTATTCTTCATGCTTCAGCCATTGTACCAGGTGTTCCAGCTTTCTTTGAAATGTGAACATTGTATCTGTTGATTTGTCATGATGTACAATTAAGAAACTTTTGATCATTTATATATAAATTCAAATTTGGAATTCAACGAGATTAAAATGACTCCTGTTAATCTAGTCACAAGATATTTCTAAATCGTGCAATAAATCTTTAATCAGATCAGTCATTGAGATTCTCACTGTTGAGATGGAAACATCGTGAGTGACAGGGTGAGTGTATCGCTGGGTGAGTGAGAGAGGATGAGTGTATGGGTTAGTGAGTGAATGCGTGAGTGAGTATGGTTTTACACTGCGTTTAGCAATGAGTGAGAGGACGTGTATGTGTGAGTGAGTGAGTGAGTGAGTATGGTTTTACACTGCGTTTAGCAATGAGTGAGAGGACGTGTGTATGGGTGAGTGAGTATGGTTTTACACTGCGTTTAGCAATGAGTGAGAGGACGAGTGTATGGGTGAGTGAGTGAGTGAGTGAGTATGGTTTCACACTGCGTTTAGCAATGAGTGAGAGGATGTATGGGTGATGGGTGAGTGAGTGAGTGAGTATGGTTTTACACTGCGTTTAGCAATGAGTGAGAGGACGTGTGTATGGGTGAGTGAGTGAGTATGGTTTTACACTGCGTTTAGCAATGGGTGAGAGGATGAGTGTATGGGTGAGTGAGTGAGTATGGTTTTACACTGCATTTAGCAATGAGTGAGAGGACGTGTGTATGGGTGAGTGAGTATGGTTTTACACTGCGTTTAGCAATGGGTGATGGGTGAGAGGATGAGTGTATGGGTGAGTGAGTGAGTATGGTTTTACACTGCGTTTAGCAATGAGTGAGAGGACGTGTGTATGGGTGAGTGAGTGAGTGAGTATGGTTTTACACTGCGTTTAGCAATGGGTGAGAGGGTGAGTGAGTATGGTTTTACACTGCGTTTAGCAATGAGTGAGAGGACGAGTATGGGTGAGTGAGTGAGTATGGTTTTACACTGCGTTTAGCAATGAGTGAGTAGGTTTTACACTGCGTTTAGGATGAGTATGGTGTATGGTCAGTGAGTGAGTGAGTGAGTATGGTTTTACACTGCGTTTAGCAATGAGTGAGAGGATGAGTATGGGTGAGTGAGTGAGTGAGTGAGTATGGTTTTACACTGCGTTTAGCAATGAGTGAGAGGATGAGTATGGGTGAGTGAGTGAGTGAGTGAGTATGGTTTTACACTGCCTTTAGCAATGAGTGAGAGGATGAGTTCGTGAATGTCGCACACAGCAATATTCTTGCTATAAGGCAGCGGTATATAAATAATCAAGTCTGGGCCACACAATTCAAGGTTAAACACCATGAGCATCAGTGTACGCAACTGGGATACGATGTTATGTTTCAACAAAGACCGCGAGCCAGACCATCCGATCCCGCTAGTCGCCTCTTACCACAAGCATGGGTTGCTGAAGACCAATTCTAACCGGGATCTTCACGGGTCATATATAAACTTAACTATGCACAAACAAAATGGGGCACAGACTAACGATTAATTTCAAAGCTGAGGAATGAGTGAGTGAATTTAGGTTTACGTTGGTTTTAGCAATATTCCAAGAATATCTCGGCGGGGGACACCAGAAGTGGGCTTCACATATGTGCCCGTGTGGGGAATCGAACCCGGATCTTCAGCGTGACGAGCGAACACTTTAACTACTAGGCTAACCCACTGCCATTTCAAAGTTGACGAAGTCAGAACATGATATTGTAGTACTGATTATGGACCGAACGATGTTTTTGGGGGGTGGGGGTGTGGGTATGCAAGTTTATGAAATGACCATTGAAACTCGTGAAAACGGGTGCACGCACACACGCACGCACGCACACACACAATTTATCAGGTGTGTGCACCACCTTTCTAAAAAGGCTGTCAGCATTTAGCTCTGTTCCAACAAAATCATGAGATCACGAGTGGGAATCGAACCTGGGATTTCGGTGTGACGAGTGAACACTTGAAAAGCTATATCTGAGCAAAACATAAGTCTTCCTGAAAATTACGACCTGTCAATTGAACTCTGCGGCTGCGTCGATTGGTCGATTACATAAGCAGGGGTGGAAGGTTTGCTCTTTGCTCTGACACAAAAACGGTTATACTATACAGCACGTGCATCGTGCCACACGCATCCCAAACGGATCCTTCTGTTGCACGCGGAAGACATTCTGTTCTTAAACGCGGTGTTCACTTCTTTCCCCAGAAGGTTTGTTTAGCAGTTACTTCACCGCCCACTCACAAACACCGCTATGAACAGAATACGTTACGTCAGCTGTACTTGTGCTGACAAGCTCATACTGGTACACGTTTCACCATTCGGTGATCCAACTTACGAGAGCAACCTACTAAGACGGAAGAGCGTAATAATTATTGTGAAGTGAACTTTCTTCAAGACATCGTGATCAGCTGCCAGTGGAAAATGTAGGAAATTACAAAAACATCACGAGCCATATTGCCACGGCAGTCATATTGAAAGGGCTATTTATAGCCATTACTCAGTCATTTTGTCATGACATTATAAACGTGCCACGAACATGTGTCGTTAGATGTCTGGCCCTCCCAGCAATATTTATTTATTTGTCTGTCTGTCTGTCTGTCTGTTTATTTATTTGTTATTATTTATTTGTTATTATTATTATTATTTTTTTTTTATTTATTTATTTGTTATTATTTATTTGTTTGTTTATTTATTTGTTATCATTTATTTATTCGTTATTATTTATTTGTTTGTTTATTTATTTGTTATCATTTATTTATTCATTTATTTAATTATTATTTGGGTAGGGGTATTTTCATTTGTCTTTTTTTGTTCTTGGTAATTATTTCAAATTCTGATCTCTCTTCAACCTGTCCAAATTCCTAAACATTGAGTTAGAATTCATTTCCTCGCTATAAGAACATTTTCACTGAACCATGGATACTGAAACTTCTCGACTTAATTGTTTCCACAATTGTCAGAAACGTATTTATGGTCACTGCTCAAAATGTACTGTAACACTCAATTTTTTCTCAAAACACAATGTTTGCTTTGTAAATATCTGTGAATTAAGTTGGCAGACTGCAGAACCTAAACTTAGAATGGCTAAATCGTGCTTAAGGTAACAGCGTAGTTTTGGAAAAGTCAGTTGGAGGTTACTGTGTATTCCGAGATTCATTTCAAGAATGAATTGTATGAAAATAAAGAATTATATCTCCGGGTAGAGGTTCCTGAAAGTTTATTATAAATGACCATTGAAACTCTCGTGAAAATGAAGCGTGCAACCCCTAACTAACAACAGTGTCGGAACACTGGTTTATAAAGACGGAAATCGTATATTGGTTCTTGATAGCCTAGTGATGTAAGCCTTCGCGTTCGCTCGTCACTTACCTAAGTGATGATCATAATGAAAGTAAGAACATTCCAATGGGTAATATTTGAGAGGATCGGTCAGTCAAATATTCCGACTAATGCCGAATCTGTTTTTTTTAAATGTTAGCAGTAAAGAATTACTTTATATGGCCGTTTGATGTTTATTCGTTGGAGAATGAGAGATGTATAGTTGTTTACGTAAGCGATATGACCAGTAAAAATGAAATGCAATCATGAATAAAAGGAGCACTCATAAAATCCTTTCCACCACCATTTCTACGGCAGAAGGGAGGTAAAAACTGAATGAACTTCCGGATTTTCATTATCAACCAATCAGAACTATGTATTTTGGCTCGGCCCGCTTCTTTTCAATATGGCCTCCGGTGACACTGCACTGTGGCTTCATAATAAACTAGGATCGACGGACGATTTGTGGTCAGGACGTACAATATGCTCGCAACTCAGCAAGGAACGTTTGTTAAGTATCCTGGAATGTTTCCATACACTTCAGCCGCATGTCAAGGTCAAGCTCATGCTGTCTTTCCTTCACGTTCCACGGCGAAACACAGAAGTGGTGAGATGACATTTCGCGGAAAAAAATATTTACACAAAGCTGTATAAAAACGCATTTTTTCAGCCACATTGAACAACGAAGATTGTGTCTGTATGAAAACCTTTCAGATAATTCATATTTACAGAATCAGTAGATAACATAACGCCTTTCATTCGGTGTTAAATGTTGATGTTCTGGCAATTTCGTGAATCGGCGAATCATTTGCGAAAAACATAACAATTATCAGGTGTGGGAGATTTCACCGTCATTCCATTCATTTCATCTACATGCATATCAATTCGTGACAGCTGGTCTTTTCATTTCTGGATCGGTAAATGAAATTCTGCCTTGTCAATCATGGAATATAGTGGTCAGTCTCTCAGTGACTGAAGGATTCAGTGTCATCTTGCACTGAATGCATAGGTGTTTTATTCATAATGTTAACCATTACCTTTGGATCATGGAGATCTGATTATTTACAAATTGTTTTCTGTTAAATTAGCTGAACACAACATTTAATATGCTAAATATACTATAGACATGATAGATATACCCGAGGTGTCATCAGATTTCTGTTTACAGAAACATACCCTAGCTGAAATCAGAATACAGAAACATACCCTAGAACGAGTCCATTAAGAATTGTTCTGTTTCCTTGATCGGAACTTCATACTGTTGTATGAGATGCTTTTGAGTGTGTTATACAAGAGAGAAGCATACACAGTAACGAATGTTTGCATAATACCACTCGCGATCAGGTGAATGGTAACAACTACATACAGTTTCGATTTTAGATTGAGGAATATTCGTTGGTTTCACATTAATTATGCATAGAGCGTGTAAAAATATCCACTGGTCAACTTCCGGTTTGGTCGTATTAGCGATATTGTAAACACACTCTAAATAAATGCTGTATGAATATTATTTACCCGTGACAACTGTTCATAGTTGAGTACATACATCCATTTGCCTATGCTTTTCAATAATTGATGTCCTATTTTGGTGGCATTGCATCAGAGATGTGTTTTTTTACTTGTGAGAAGGGGATGTGCAGGAAGGACGGTGGACGGGTGGTGGTGAGATGTGTTTATACAAGAACTTGTTAACAAACGTTAAGCTATTTATTTAACTAATTTCGGTCCCTTCCATTCATAAATGAATTGAGATCAGTTAAATTCGACATAAAACCATATATTTATTTTGATTTTGGCTTTCTTTAGAGTGTGTTTACACTTTCGGTAAAGCTTACTACCAAACCAGAAGTTGGGCCGTGGATATTTTTACACGCTCTGCGCATGCGCACAGCGAGTCGAAAATTAATGTGAAACCAACAAATGGACTTGGGTTCGACATTCAGGGTACCTGGGTTGCATATCTATAGCAGTACTAGTACCTGTGCCATTAATGATCTCTTCAGCGATATTTATTAATATGAACTTTTTGTTGTATTTTGCCTCTTGATGCAGTGTTGTATCAATACTGTCTATTGATTTTCTAACTTGTCATTTGTCTATTGCCGTTGGATCAGACAGGCTTTTGCCTTGCCCAACTAAAATAAGGGGCTAGAACACCCCAAGTTACAAACTGCAAGGGTCCTGTCACTATCAAATTGTATGGTGACCTGTTATATGAAATAATAACGTTTTTAGTAATTATACCTAGGATTTAGGACATTTGTGATTGACTCGGTCAAAAGATTGTGGCCTGCTTCCGGCATTACTGTTTCATGTTTTTGTCGAAAAATGCAACAACTTTTCAGTAGCCTCGAAACCCAAGGGCAGCACATAAGTTTTATAAAAAACTGCTATTGGATCAAAGGACATATACCGTTCCTTATTGTTGTTTCAATATTTTACATAAAGTAGGGTGTATTTATCATGGTATATTATGGATATGGAAGACAGAAGGAGAATGATACACCAATGCAAAAGTTAAAGAGTTTAGAAAGAGCTTCTAGATCAGTGTTATGCATGTAGTTGAAATGTGTTGAATGTGTCAAGCTCTTGTTTTGACAGATTAGCTGTCATAGGTTTTCATGAATATGTGTTGTGATTTTGCAATCTGTCATTTTGGATACAGAAGTAAAAACTGGTTGTTGAGGTTCTCTCAGGGTTGTCATGATTCAGAAAGTGACACATACCTTCAGTGTTGACAGTTTAACATGGGCCATTGTATACACTTTGGACACATAATTGGCAGTTAACCTATATCAGTGTGATCCACTCAACTGAATTTTGTAAAATAATGTGACTTATTGACTAACAATTATATTATAAACATGGAAAACCTTTCATGGGACCATTCGGAAGTAAGTAAACTTAAACAAGAAAATCAAGGGATCATATTGAAGTCAACAAGATCATATTGAAGTCAACAAAGTCATATTGAAGCATTAGAGAGATATCAAACAAAGGTGACCGCCTCCGTGGTGTAGTGGTTAGAGTGTCCACCCGGAGAGTGGGCGGTCGTGGGTTCGATCCCCGACCGCATCATACCAAAAGACGTTAAAATATGGTACTTGTTGGTCCCTGCCTGGCGTTCGGCATTAATGGGTACAACAAGGACTGGTCGGCTCGGAGTCAGTATAATGTGTCTGAGTGGGGTATTCATGCTTCACTGCGGCATGGTATCTCAGTGGGCTAGCACTATAAAACCAGCTTAAGTCTGGGCTAGTACAAGCAGCCGCACATACACACGCATGCACGTTGTCATATGAGCGAAATATTCTCAAGCACGACGTTAAACCCAATTTCACCTCACCTCATCAAACAAAGGATGCCAGGATCATGTAGACTAATGCTCAAAGACTGAAAAACCGATTAGATGCAAACGCAACATTGCCTTCTTGCCATCACCAGATGATACAGTTACCATGGTAACTGATTTTTGTTATTAATCACGTCATGGTGACATAATATTTTCATAGAATGCAGAATATTGTCATGGTTGCTGAAAGTTGTTGTCATGGTAACACAAAGTTGTAATGGTTGCAGTGGAAACGGGAAATGGATGAGATTCTGCACATGGCCATGATGGACACCGATCCATGGGTGTGCATGGTGGCAGAGATTCTGCAGACCTTCCCAGCTACAGGCTCACTGAACACGGCCTTGGAGGAGAACAGTCAGACATTTGCAGAGGTCTTAACTGACCTCAAGAAGAGTGGTAAGGGAACCTCACATTTCACAGTTTCTAAATATTCTGTTTTGTCATGTAAACTGGAAAAACATTTGTCGTAAGGATTTTTAACGATGTGTTTGTATCTAAGGGCATGGCTGGCCTTGCACTTATAGTCCGTTTGGCTCAAAAGCGGACCGATGAATTGCAATCTAACTCGAAAACTAATAAACATAACATACTCAATGAAACGCTGATCATAATCAAAACATCATACCCACTCGGTGAGGATTTTGCAGAATTTTTGTCCTAAAATTAAAAAAGTTGTTTAAGAATCTATCAATAAAATATTGACACAGTTCACTATTTGTTACGAGGGAGGAGTGCAGAGAAAGGGACAGCCAGGTGTTCGAGAACGGATGGAGACGGCACAGCACAGGTTAATGAATAAATAACTTTGTACGAGGAGAGTGAGCGTGCTTCTTGAACACCTGGCTGTCCCTTTCTCTGCACTCCTCCCTCGTAACAAACAGTGAACCGTGTCAATATTTTAATGATAGTTTGTTAAAAGTCAACATAAACCCTAGGGTACAAATACATAAATCACTAACTGGCATCGTTATAAATGAACCCCGTCATTAAAACTACTCATTTCGACCTTTAATTGACTTAAATCGACCTTTTTTGACAACAGTGCACAATTCTCACCATGAACGAAATTTCAACCAATCAGAGGTAAGCATCTGTGGCGTCATATGAGGAATAGCTTTGAGAGCCGATGCAGAATTCATCTACATTTTAGGGGGTAAATTATCGTGTTTACAGGCTTGTATAAACCTGAAATCGTGACAATTGTGGTGGAAAATGAAAGCTATATGTTCTCACAATCTACTGTCATTTAATTTTGTCTCCTGCTTTTGCCTAGTTTCGAAGTTACAACTTGTTTTCATAGACGATTCTGTCAAAATCGATTGGTGTCGTTAGGCCCTATTTGTATAATGACTGATCCAAATTGATCCCATTTCTGTGTTGTTTTACCTCGATATTTAATCATGTCATGTAAAAATCTGCTTGTATTCTCAAAACAGTGTCGGCCCATAAGTTTTCACATGCAATACAGCAATTAATACTCCCTCGTTGTAACCCGTGTTAGGTGGTATAAACCTACACATGTTATTTGTCATCATTCACTTGATGGTCAGTTAATGAATTTATAACAGGTATAATTAGTGGTAACACACTTAGATTACCCGACAAAGGTTCCCATTTGGCATTTCTTGTGTCTGGAGTAAATATTCAACATTATAAACATCGATCAAAGGATTAACCGATAACGCTTTGATTGATTAATTACTTTTATCTTACACAGTGGAATTGTCAAAAGGTAGTGTTTATGTATGTAGATTTACTAATCTATACTGAATACACTCTGTCGGTGTCGGTGTCTGCGTAAAACAACGTCCTTCTTTCAAAGGATTAACCCGGCAATACATTGATTGATTGCCCATTATTGGCTAACTAAATTACTGTTTTTAAAGAAAGGCGGACATTATGCAATTAGTTGCCAGGTGTGCTATCTTGGGTGACCAATGAGACTATACACCAATACCTGAAAAGATTGATCACTTTTTCAGTATATTAAACTGTTAAAAGACACATCATTTGGAACAGTTTTGTGGATATTGATGGATACATTCCTCGAACAAGGTAATGGCCTGATATTGTTCCTATAACTTTAATCTGTTTTAATTTTAATATTTGCATTTTGTTTTATTCATTTGTCGTAGCATTCAACAGAATCATTGTTTTCGCCGTGAAGTGTAATGAGACAGACAACATGCACTAGGTGTGTGCGAATTATGATTCACATTGGCAAACTATAAAATGTCTAGATATTACAGTTCTGTTATAAATTCACTATAAGTATCAGCAGATCGTCTGCTTTTTATTTAGTTTCAAAATGCATACAAGTGTGATAATAAACTAATTAGGATTATAAGACCAAATATAAAGACGCACATTGACTAGTATCTACATACTGGTGAGTGGACATTAACCATGGGAATGTAGCAAGAAATTTATCACAAGCAGTATTGTGACTTCGACCCCCACCTCGCTTCCGTGGAAGAAATCGTTATGTTATAAGTTGTGTCATGCAAAATCCGTTTGGTTATGATTCCAATACATATTTAATCAACGAGTAGAAAGTAGTCTTGATTTTCTAACTTGATGAAAACAAACTATAATCTCATTAATTCTAACAGATTTTTATTTTAAAAATGGCTGTATACCCTGTCGGGAACATCCGCCAGTCTGAGGATAAATGGTATTTAGGTTTGTTTTCACTGAGTTACAAAATCAAAACTACTTTCTACTGGTAGTAAAATATGTATTTTATTGATAGCCAATAGGATTTTGCATGACATAGCTGCAGATATCATAACAATTTCTCTCAAACCTGGCTGGCAGCGAGGTGGGTGTCAATATAATACTACTTACAATATTATTGTTACTTCGACCACAACCTCACTTCCGAGGAAGAAATCGTTATGTTACAAGTTGTGTCATAGAAAATCTTTATGGTCATCAATCATATGCATATTTTACTACAACTAGTAAGTAGTTTTGATTCTTTAACTTCCGTGAAGCTATTATCTGAACACAAGTAATGCACTCACAAACATAACCCATTTAGCACGAACCGCGGGGTCCTGTGGAAATCTGTGCATGGGGACACCATCGCCCGACCCCTAGGAGCAATTGACGACAAAGCAACGATTCGCATGTCGCCGTTGATGTCGAGAAATCATCAAATTGATGAGCGTGCTACACATTTTCTATACAACTAACTGAAAATCGTTCCTCATATGACGTCACTGCAGTGCTCTGGCGACAGAGTTACGTAACCTGTCTGTGGTTTCGTTGGCGGGCGAGAGGGAAGCAGGCGACTTTTTGGCCACTTTTAATCGCTCGGTATTAATTAACCACAAGTTTTTAAAGAATAAATTTGGTGTTCCGCATAAGACTAACCACAAATCTTTCATATGTAATGGTTAAAAGAGTAACAAAAAACAAAGTTTAGTGGTTCTTTAAACAACTTTTTTAATTTTAGGACAAAAATTCTGCAAAAACCTCACAGAGTGGGTATGATGTTTTGATTATGATCAGCGTTTCATTGAGTATGTTATGTTTGTTAGTTTTCGAGTTAGATTGCAATTCATCGGTCCGCTTTTGAGCCAAACGGACTGTAGGTGCTGCAATGTACTCTGCAGAGTTGTGTCCCTTAGGTGTGCAAGGCACATATGATCGTGGGTTTGAATCCTGGTTTATCGTGTGTACTTCTGGGTTATTTGTCAGTGTGATACCTATAATTGTGGGCGTCACCAAACGGGTTAAGTCTAAGACTCAATGTTGGTAAACATTTATCTTTGTGTCATTGATTTTCGGATGCTCAAGAATGTTTGTTTTTCTCTCAATTATTGCATGAACAGTTGTGAAACATTTCACTAACCTATTAAAGACATCTTTATTGTAAACACAAGCCATCATCTATGTATTCACAACAATTGTGTGTTGCAACCCACCTTGTGATGGCAAGCGTAAAGACTGCCTGCTGAAAGCACATACAAGTCTCAAAACGTAATCTGATGAAAAGGTGTGCCTATGTGATGACATATTTTTTTCATTCACTCCCTACAGCATCAAGGAGTCAGGCTCGCTGACTTGGTTGACACATGTCATCATATCCCAGTTGCGTAGATAAAGGCTCATGCTGTTGATCACTGGATTGTCTGGTCCAGACTCGATTATTTACAGACTGCCACAGTATGGCTGGAATATTGTGTAAAACTACTCACTCACTCATTCCCACCCTCACCTGCATACACTGACATTATTTGTATTTCATTTATTTGCAGTGAAAAAGTCAGGCGGATGTTCGCATGCTGCCCATTGAATGCCAGTTCCTCAACAAGACGGCGCTGTCGAACACTGCTGGCCAGCCTCCGCAGCCTGTCAAACACTTCGCTCTCAAGAGAAAACCCAAGTCGGCTACGCTTCGAGCTGAACTTCTTCAGAAGTGTAAGTACACCAAGTACAGCGAAGACGTGTCACCATCTTGATTCAGTATATCTGTTTTTCACAGTCATGGGTGCAATTAAGGCCATCATTGAAACATGAAAGACTACCATGAACATTATGTTGAATGCAGGATGTAATAATGGTTACATGCTTACTGTCCTTAGCATGTTTCTGGAAATTATTATTAGATTGTTTTTGTTGTAAATATTTTCAAATGCCAAAGTCATCCTGTGGCATGGGAATGCCAGCGTTCTTGATGCTGTGGTTAGGAAGAGATTGAAAAGTGGCCTTCAATATCTGATTGAATGTGAAGATCTGTAAGTCTAAAAGTTTAAGTGTCTGTTTTTCTGTTTTAGCATCAGAGGCAGCTGCCAACAAGAAGAACAATGTACCTAATTCTGTGCCCATCAAGATCAGGAGTTTTGCCAAGAAGATGGATGATTCAAGTAATTTATTATTATAAATGTCTTTGTCAGTTGAAGTGAAAGCTTTTTGGTTTATGCCTAATCTCTGTTAAAATCAGGGTCAGAATTTCTCTTCAGCCACCCGTGTCTATCATAAGAGGCAACAAACGAGAGTGGGGGTCAGTCTGTCACTTACTTGATTCATGTCATTGTGTCCCAGTTTCGTAGATTGATTCTCGTGATGTCAGTTACAGAGTTCTCTGCTTACAGATGACTGGCATAAAGCTTGATGTAGATGGAATATTGCTGAGTGCTGTCAAATTTGGAACTATAGGTTTCTTGTGTTTAGAGTACCGTAAAACTGAAGAGATCCTAAGTGACCGAAACTTATGACGTGATGCCCATTAACTAGGAATCTGAAAACCCTTGTCAGTGTTCAGTGTGGGTGAAATAGGTCTCTGCTTCCTCATCGATGTTTTGACAGGTGATAACATGGATCTGTTTGACAGTCCCATGTTCCTTGATGAATCTTAGGTTGAGATAACCCAACTCAGAGATGACAGTCAGATGCCTCAGCATTGTTTCACACTTAAGTAACTTAAGGTTACTAGTAGGGGTGCAATGATTGGGTATGATTCATTGGAAATCGAATCTGACACCTTACTTTCTATTTTCGATAACCATTATCACTATTTCGATTCGATATTTGAATACCTATTTAAATTATTTCCACAAAGCCAGAACGAAATTTTGACTCCAACTCGAGCAGTTTCGAGCGCTGAAATAAGGTGAAATGTAATTGGTTGACGCCAGGCTAATTATCTAATGAGAATTGTTGTTAGTAGACATCGCCAAGTTGACGATGGACTTCACGCTAAAATGCCGACCCTGAGAGTTAAATGAAATCTGATGTTTTTACTTGTATGAAGAATCGAATTGAAAATGATCGAATCGAGGGTCCAATATAAAAAAATCGAATCAAATCGAGGTCTGGGTAAATGTTGCAGTGCTTGTTCGAGCTACAAGATTGTTGTCTTGTTATTTTCCAGCTCCACTGAAAGGCTTACCAGGAAGGAGTCCGACTACTCCAGCGTTCCGGGCGGCAGGGGCAGGATTCGGGAGGATTAACAACACGCCTCTCAGTACTCCCCCTCTCAGCAGCAGGTCCAACTCCGCTCGGAGGGAGGGCAAGATAAAGGTACCGCCCATGTTGTAGATACAGTGTTTCTGATGGCCTTTGTTTGTGCTTGTAACAGGTCTAGTGATACCCAGATATCCGGAAGCCCCGGCTTCCAGTCAATTTGCAGAAGTAACAATCTCTTACGTTATAAAAGTGACTGTATATAACGAATATGTGCTTTCTGGACAGTAAATTTTACAAACCAACTGACTAAATCAACACAAAATTGACTTACTTATCCGCATGAAGTTTCGATCTTCTGATTTTGATTTTGCTTACTCTGCTGGGTAACTGAACTGTGTTTGTTGTCAGTTCTTGGACCTGGATCAAGTACCAGTTGGTTCCAAGGAAGCCAAGCGGAGAAAGAAGATGGCTGGTCAGTAAACATGAGTTAATGTTAGTGTGCAAAACAATCTCATGATGCAGTTCATTGTAAGGACGGGCGGTGGGGTAGTCTACTGGTTAAAGCGTTCGCTCGTCACGCTGAAGACCCGGGTTCGATTCCCCACATGGGTACAATGTGTGAAGTTCATTTCTGGTGTCCCCACCGTGATATTGCTGGAATATTGCTAAAAGTGGCATAAAACCAAACTCACAATCTCACTCATCATAAGGAAACCTGGGTTAAACAGGTCCCTTGTACTGCATTGCTTGTCTTCAGGGGTAACTGAAGTGAGGTGAATGATTTCAAGCTTTCCTTCCTCACACATAAATTTAACATGCTGTGAAATATAACCAAGATTCTGTTCAAAGCGACATTGGACAAACTCACTATTGTCATATGTAAGTGTATTTGATTATTGAATTTTGTTTGTTTCAGAAATTGAGGCTATTGAGCTGCAGAAGAAGGAGAAAGAGGCAGCAGCATCCTCAGCAGCATCGGCAACAACTACGACTGCAGTGACATCTTACACTCCCGACTATGCTGCAGGTCTTGTACCTCCAGCAACACCGGTACGTCTCAGTGTGTGTTTGTTGTCATCGAATTGTCTTCTGGATATTGACTGTGTTACAGTGTAAGAGTTATTTCAATCCATATGTTTGGTTGTGATCTGGTTGTGACTTCGAATTGGCTGTAGTACTTTTTACATGGCATAACTTAATGTAGAATATCATCTTCACTATGTCAGTCTAAATTACTTTTCTATAGCTCGCCTGGTGTAATTACCATTGTTATCTACAGAGTGTACTGTTAATAAACTGTTAAGAACCTTCCAGGGCTCAGATAAGGACCGTGATCGGGCGTATGTACGGATAAAAAAATATACACGATCACGGTAGGAAATAATTTAGAAAAACGAAAGCACATACACCACAGCAATGCTGTACGGTCTTGGAATCATTTACAGACGTATTTATCTGAAAGAGTGTTGTATTGTTTATTGACCTGTTTACACAAGAGTAGTAATGTTGTGGTGCATATATGAAGCGGCACCCAAGATTACTGATACTCCATTAAATTCCATTCAGTACAAAATGTACTCTTTAAGTTTATCCAGTACTCCTATATTGAAAAATAAGGGAGGCATGACTCCTGATGTTGAAAAATTATCTTGAGCCCTGCCATTGATGTAAAAATTCATCAAAACCATTGGTTAATCACATCACCTGTGATGTAATGAAAATTTTTAAAGTTTCTTGCTACCATGTTAAATCGACCAATGTTAAACAACATTTCAAACCTTCAATAAGTTTAAAACTAAACCCAACAGAGACATCCTGCCTGATCTTATTCCTTTTATGACACAGGAAAATCAAGTGTGAAAGGAGAACATTTAATGTTTTATGTTAGTTTGCTTGTGACAAGGGAGACAACTCATAGCACCTTGGGTTTGAGCAGATCAATTGTGATGAATATTAAGATGATGGTGTTGAAATTATATTGGGATTTGGGGCACAATCGAAAACAGTTTGTAGCACTACTATGTTCACAAGCCAATTATAAACTATACAGTTGCAATCCCAGTAAAACATTAGTAACAATTATTGTTCGATTTTACATCATTCCGCACATTTCCTAAAGTCAGAATAGCAATGTTATATGGATTGTCTGCAAGTGCAAGTAAATCTGTTGGACAGAGGGTCTGTATATAAGCTTATTCCAGTGACATAGTTACAATATTTCAGTATGTTTTTGTTTCACTATAAACATTTCAGTCACACTGTGATACGCATTGCTTATTTACACTTTGTGTATTCAGAAAATGCCCACCCCAGCTGTTGGAACCAGCACATCAACACTGCCCACCCCACCCCAGCCTATGTTCCCACAGCAAGCAGTAGACTCCCAACACAGCCTGCTGCTGTCACCACGGCTGCCACAGGTAACAAGACATACCGTAACCTATAGCAACCAGAACAATATTTGTCAGTATTGTTGAGTGTTTAGGTGAAACAAGGATATAGTAGTGAAGGAGGTGAGGTGAGGTGAAATTGGGTTTAACGTCGTGCTTGAGAATATTTTGTTCGACGTGCATGCGTGTGTATGTGTATGTGCGGCTGCTTGTACTAGCCCAGACTTAAGCTGGTTTTATAGTGCTAGCCCACTGAGATACCATGCCGCAGTGAAGCATGAATACCCCACTGAGACACATTATACTGACTCCGAGCTGACCAGTCCTTGTACCCATTAATGCCGAGCGCCAGGCAGGGACCAACAAGTACCATATTTTAACGTCTTTTGGTATGACGCGGTCGGGGATCGAACCCACAACCTTCCGCTCTCCAGGTGGACGCTCTAACCACTACACCACGGAGGCGGTCCGGTGAAGGAAAAACTTACCCTCACTACTATGTCTTCCTAGTTTAACCCAGGTGGAGATAGATCCACAGCTATCTACTAGCTGCAGCTGCAGCCGCCATCTTTGTCGACACTGTTTGATTTAAACTTCACTGATTGAAGCTCGATTGTTAAAGTGTTGGCTCGTCTGACGAAGGGCCGGCTTCTACTCCCCACACGGGACAATGTGAAGCCCATTTCTGGTGTCCCTCGGTGATGTTGCTGGAATATTTAAAGCGAAAACCAAACTCAGTCAGTCAGTCTTATCTGATTGGCTGTGAAAGACCGGTGGGGTAGCCTAATGGTTAAAGCGTCTGCTTCGTCACATGAAGACCGGGTTCTACTCCCCATATTGTGTGAAGCCCAAGCCCATTTCTGGTGTCTCCCGCTGTGATATTGCTGGAATATTGCTAAAAGCGGCGTCAAACTAAACTCACTGTGAGAAAGAGGACCTAGCAAAGGGAGGTAATACAATTATTGGGCCGAGTTGAAGATGGAGGTTATCAAGGATGTCTACTAATCTGGAAAGGATGGTCATACTCTGTGACATGGTTGACCACAGGTCATTGCACACCAGCATCCATTGCAATTCATGACAAACTGATATGTCTGGGTGAGTGAATCACTTAGTTACAGTCAGCTCTGATGTATCTGTAGTTGGAATTTTGAATACCTAGAAGACATTGAAAAGTCATTGCCATTGTCTTATGATGATAATTGTGTAACATTTAACTGATGCATGTTATTTGAAAATAAATATGTCCAAAATGTGTATGAACCTAAGTTGGGTGATGTTTTGTGGACTTATCAGTATGCAACTAATACAACAGCCCACCAAAGTAAATACCTGTCTGATAATGAAGTCAATATTTTATATGTTGGTGTGGGTGTGTAATAATATGGCCAAATAAGAAAAAATGTTGTGGTTCCAATTACACCTCTTTGAAATTTAGGGTAGGTAGGTACGATTTTTTAATTTTTTTTACATTTTTTTAGAAGTAAAGTACAAGCTTATAACACATTTATCAGTGTGTAATTACTTATTCAATCAATCTTACGGCCATCATGTCGACTTTCTCTATCAGAGTGACCAGTGTCCATCGGTAACGGGGAAAAACAATGGTATCTGAAAGCTTATTTTATTCATACCGCCTAAGAAAGATCAGCACCAGAATTCAAGGGTAATCAGTAATCGGAACCACAACATTTTCTTTTTTAGGCCTATGTCAATTTTATATAGCTGCTCAGTCAGAACTATCATCAGTCAGAACTGCAATTTAGTCCCTCATTCAGAGTTGCATCCCTGTTTCACGTGGTCCAGGATCTTGTGATTGTGAGTGCGGCGGTGTTAGTCACTCATTTTCCATGGTGGAGATTCTTGGTTTGCCAGCACTATGCTTCTAGAAAACCTATAACACCTGCATCAAAACTCCTTGTCAGACACAAGTGCAAGGCAACCATTTTGAAGATAAGATTGGAATGATATTGTAAATTGTGACTACATTAAGAGTTGACATGTTAATTTGCTCCCTGTGTATTTCAGCATCGGTCACCCTGTCAGCCTCGACACAGCAGGCCAGACAAAACCTTCAGCAACAACTGCAGCAACAGCTTGGCCAGTCACAGATCAGGACACAGATGATCGTCACCCAGCAACCAGGCAGCCAATCACAGACAGTGATACTGCAGCCTCAAACAACCCTGCAGCAGGTAGTCACACAGCAACAAACAGCTGTGCTGGCAACAACTCCACTACAGCAGCCGCAACAGCAGCAGCAACAACAGCAACCTGCTCTACTCCAGCAGTCTGTACAGGTGACAACAACGCCGCAAGCACAGACAGCTGTCGCAGCACCAGCCAAGAAAGGCCTTTCACTCACAGTGAGTCCAGTTCAATGTGGAAATTTGAAATGACATATATATCAGTGTAAACCTTTTCTTTCTTTCTATGATGTACATGACTACAGCAGAATGAAGTTCAAATATAAACGATGCTGAGAATATGTATAGGAGAAACCATGACTACGAGGGTTTACTAGAGATTATGAACCCTGAGAGGAGGGAACATGTTCCCGACTCTCAGGGTTCACCATCTCTTGTAAACCCGAGTAGGAGTGGTTTCTCCGACTTATCAACCGTTTTTGCGTAAAATATCTTTTAAAATAATATATAACGATCGACATCAATACGCCCCTAGCAGAAAAATATTGATGGGACAGCCCACAAATGATGGAACAGTGTCAACTGGGATGCGACTGGCAGCCAACACCTTGCCTAGCATGCGCAATGCACGTGCTACCTGGTGTCCTGCATGTGTGCTGCATGGTTCATACTGACAAACAATCTCATTCTTCACAGCGATCCTTCGTAGCTTAGTGGATAAAACTGCCAAGCTAGAGAGCAAAGGGTTGCAGGTTCGAAACCAGTTATCGCCACTATATGTTGGAAGTTTTCAATAATGTCATATTTTACGATCAGTGATAGCAAGACAAAGTTGTATCAATCATGAATAATATCCTAGGTTTAGAAATGATCAGTGCAGAGGTCTGGGAACCCACTTAACTATTCACATCCCAGGGATTACAATTTACATCCCGGGGATTTATAATACACATCTCTGATTATATAGTCTAACCATATGATACGATATTGAAAAGACTGTCTGAGATGACCTGTTATACGTGAGGTAGGGTGCTATAGGTAAAACCTATGATGTTGCTGGAATATGGCTTAAATTTGTGGGTATTTTTTTTCAGAGAGAACAAATGCTTGAAGCACAGGAGATGTTTAAGACATCGAACAAAGTCACTCGGCCAGAGAAGGCCCTCATCCTTGGTTTTATGGCAGGGTCAAGAGGTGGGCATGTTTGTTTGACTTAAAAAAAGGACACTAGGTATTCAGAAAGTTGTCCTCTTTATTCTGAATCACTTTATCATTGCTAAGTTCCTGATGCACACAATGATGATTCATTGCATTCATTTTACATTGAGTTGAATGACACCACGCTTTCACCTCCTGCTCTACCACTCACTCCACCACTCATTCAAACTCGCACTCTACCACCTCACCGAACCTCCCAGTCATCCAGCATCCTGTCTCAACCTTGTTTTAATCAAACTCCAACTCTTTTAAAACCTCACTCTACCAGTTGTCTCTCTCGAGTGCTTGTTTCCCTTAACCACTCAACCACTCACTCAACCATTCCTTCACCTTCAACATCCACCAACTCAGCCACTCATATCCCTCAATCACTCCCTCAACCACTCACTCAACCATTCACCTAACTGCCTCACTCAATAACTCACTTCACCACTAACTCAACCACTCAACCAACAACTCACTCAACCATTCACCTAACTGCCGCACTCAATAAGTCACCTCACCACTAACTCAACCACTCAACCAACAACTCACTCAACCATTCACCTAACTGCCTCACTCAATAACTCACCTCACCGCCACTCAATAACTCACGTGACCACTAACTCATCCACTCACTCCACCGAGGTACTAAATCACTCATTTCCTCACCTTCCACATCCACTCACACAATTTGGACCAGAAGCTATTGTCACAGAATGCATTCTCTCACCCAAGCTTTTTTCTTCCACAGACAACCCCTGCCCACAGCAGGGCGACATCCTCAACATCCGACTCAGTGAAACAGAGGAGACTGTACAACAGACTGACGGTGTCCAGAGGAAGATGATAGCGGACACCTACTTCCAAATGAACTATTCCACTGGAGAGTGGAAGCGCTTTAAGAAATTCCGGGAGTTGGGAGCCTCCTAGTACACAACCAACCCATTGTTAAATGGGTGTGCGTGACTTGGTGGGGAATACATGTGATAGCTTGGATCAAACGGGGAATACATGTGATAGTTCTCGAGCCTGTTCACTGAAGGAATCAACACTAGCAATGTCGGTCTTGAGGAACTTATCCTGGATAGTCAGTCACATTTCTCAGGGTCTGTATAAGTTTCCGAGCCTGTTCACTGCTCAGATTCAACACTAGCATTTCAGGCATGTTCAGGGTTGGAGCTTGTTCAGTAGGAACTTATCCTGGATAGTCTGTTTACATTTCAGGCATGTTCAGGATACATGTCTGTATAAGTTTGGAGCTTGTTCGAGTGGGAGCTCTTGCTCAGATTAGGAACTTATCCTGGATAGTCTGTTCCCATTTCAGGCATGTTCAACACTGTTTAGGATAGGAACTTGTTCAAGATAGAAGATTTGGACCTTGTCTGAAATAAAGTTAGCTGAAGAGCCAGTTTGGGTGGGAGCCTAGCCATCTATTTTATAGTTGAAACCTTTTCCAGTTGAAGGCTTGTACATATGGATAGCCTCTGATACTGTGACCAATCTCTGAGCTGGTCACTGCTGGAACTAGGATACTGGGATTGAGAGCAGGTGCTTGGAGAATGGGGGCCTGGATGAATGACCAAAGTTTATATTTTATCATGCAAAGTCTAAATGCTTGCAACCTGCCTTTGTGTATGTATTTTTCACATCATGAGAACATATACATGTATGTTTACCATCCATCATCGATTCTATGGGCCATACACAAGCTGTGCTACTCAACCTGATGGCCAGAGGACTGATAAATGGGAAAGACCTAACGTTTAATCTCAATGCCTGTCAACATGCAGTGTGATGTTAGAAAATCTCAAGCTGTCAGCCAACGTCATCATCACTTAAAGCCACCAAGCTGTAGTATTGTGTATGTTTGCAACTGCATGTATAAATAGTGTTCCCGATCTTGGACACTTACTACTTGTCATTCAAAATGGCTATTCAAATTTTTCCAAATTTTTAAAGGAATACAAGGATATCTCATAAAACTCACTAAATTCATGAACATATCCCATTTCCACGTAACTCCAACTTACTGAGAGGGAGACTAATGATTATACTTATTGTTTGACTGTTGATTTTGTGGTAATGATGTTAAATTATGTATGGAAGAATTGTCATGTTAAGTTATATCATCCCAATCTCTACAGTATGGACATACTTGCTGCATTAGTGTTAGAAGCTGCCGACTTCTCTCATGTAGTTCCTGGTCCCTCTGTGGACTGTTAAACATAAAACACTCCCCTGCATCAGGATGGCCCTGTGGTCTGAAGAACTCAAGTACACGTTGAGAGTTTTACATAATGGTGCCATGAATGGTATCATCAAAGGAAAGAAACCCAGATTCAGCCTGATTATCATCCTTGTTTGTTAGAACCACACCCAAGCTAGTGGATGCCACCAAGTGGTTGATAACTAAGCCAAGCAGCACTCCAGGCTTTCCTCCTACAGCTTGCCCTGATTTAACTGAAATACCGTTCCAGGTGGGATTAAACCAAACTCACTCACTCACTGTTGGTTTGTCAGTGCCCTAACCGTCATATTGGGTGTCTCCTAAGTGGGAGGTAGGTAGCCTAGTGGTTAAAGCATTCGCTCGTCACGCCGAAGACCCGGGTTTGGTTCCCAGATGGGTACAACTTGTGAAGCCCATTTCTGGTGTCCCCAGCCATGATGTTGCTGAAATATTGCTACAAGCGTAGTCCAAACTCATTGTGTAGTATGTCTCCTGAGTGGAAAATGTCTTTTGGCATAAGTCTCATGGGCAGAAACACACAGATATACCAGAAATACAGTTTGAAGCACGGTGATTCGCTGTACACAATCATTCTCAAAATTGTTTTTTCCATCATGGGCAGGCTGAAATGGTCGGAATACAATTATGGTTTGGCTTTTTGGTGTCAGGATGTTTAGATTCACATGCTAGATTTGTATATTATTTCTTGTGTACCTTGCCAACCAACATGTGTTGTGATATGTCTACTATCTCATGGCTAATGTAGTGTCAACCTTGTGTGAAATATTCTAGGGGAATCTATCTGAGAAAGATGTTATACTGAAAGCAGCCGACCAGTTTTCGGGAATCACAACATGTTTGTAAATGACATTCAACATACGCTATTCACACTTTGCTAAGGATCAAATGGATTCAACAGAAAACTATTATGTGGGGTCAAATTTGGTTTAAATGCCTAAGTGTATTGTAAGCATGGATCCTAGGTTTCAGTATGTCATTGCATCTTGTGCAACCCATACCTGCTATTGACATGTGTTGTGTACTTGTCACTCGTTCCATGATTTGCAAAATGGTTGATTGGTGCCATGAAAACCATTTTTATGGTTACTCGTATATCAAGTGCATAGGGTTAGATTAAACTGGTTGTTTGCCTGAAGAGGGGTTACCATATTATTATTTATCCAGTTTTAAATGGATTCAATTTCAAATTATGAGTGTGTTGTGATTTTTTGTGATCCTTTGCAAACTGTGAGTAGTATATCTGTTAGTTCACTTACACACCGACCTTCTAAGAATCTACTGACCGTGAGCCTCTTCTAGAAGACAGTTTGGTGCTCTTCAGCTACTACTAAGTAATTCTTAGGAACCAAATCGGTTTTAAGAAAGTAAAACAGGATATTTTGATGAGGTACATTCGAGGCTGTTGCACAAACAGCCAGGGGTACATGACATTTCTAGCACAGGGTTTGAGTGATTTGTTTTGGTATCTGAGATTTGTTACCTTGCAGAATTGTTGGACCATGGTTATGAACACCCGGTGTTGTTGAACCAGCATGTACGGACATACTGACCTGGTGTCTGTATGTGTCGCATGTTCAAGTGGAATCTACCTATTAAGCATGTTGTTTCCATATGTGCAATTACCGACATGATACTGTATGTTTGGTATCTACATGAATGTTGTTATGGTGATGACCTGTCATTTGATGCCATACGTCTGCATCAAACTGTGTTTTGTTTATACAATAAACCAATTATGAAGAACGTGTCGTCTGCTCTTTGGGTTCAAATCCTAGATTTTCAACCTGAGATGAGGTGAGGTGACGGTCCATCTGGGTGAAAAGAAATCCAGTGGGTTTAACGTCGTGCTTGAGGTGAATATTTCGCTCATATGACGACGCTTGAGAATGTGCTCATATGACGTGCATGCGTGCTGCTTGTACTAGCCCAGACTTAAGCTGGTTTTATAGTGCTAGCTCATTGACATACTTTTCACCCTGATGTTTTTAGGTAGAACCGTGCAATGGGCATAATGCCGTGACAAGCGGCGTCAAACCAGACAATCATGGGGTGTTGACACGGGTGAAGCCTCTGGTCGTGGGCTGCAAAATGGGGTAACCTCAAAACGAAACGTTTTGGATATTGACTCTTGAGTGGTAGGAACCTGAGGTCATGGCGTGACAGCGTGAATGAGGAGTCAGACTCATTACAGCGATATTGAGAGGTAACCTAGTGGTTAAAGCGTCCGCTCGTCACGCCGAAGACATGGGTTCGATTCCCCACATGGGTACAGTGTGTAAAGCCATTTCTGGTGTCCCCGTCGTAATATAGCTAAAAGCCGCGTAAAACTAAACTCACTCACTCCCTCACTACAGCGGTAGTGCAAGCCTTCATCATTGCTGCTATATACGGACTTGCATTTTTCTGTGAGTTTGCTGAAAATTAAATGATATTTGTCAAATTCCATTGTGTTTGTTCATCGCCTGACAGAGTCAGTACCTTGGGTTGTTAGTACCATAGCCGTTCTTGTAGTGTTCAGTGTTTGGTGTGGTGGTTTTATCAACAGTAGTTAACGAAGGCCCTATCCAGGCAGTTGAAATAGAATCGTCCCCATGCGACAAGACATTCATGTGGTAATCAACGTAACTATCTCCAACATCTCTGTTGAGCGGGGCGGATGGGTAATCCAGTTGTTAAAGCGTCCGCTTGTCACGCCAACAACCCGGGTTCGAATCCCCCCCACATGAGTACAATGTGTGAAGCCCATTTCTGGTGCCCCCCACCGTGATATTGCTGAAATGTTGCTCAAAGCGGCATAAAACCATACTCACTCTGCTGAGCGTAATATTGGCAAGCATTGTACCAGTACAAGCACCAGTATCTAAAGCAATGGTTTAAATCCTTTTATGGTATCATTCAGTCTCAGTTAGGTGACACTACTTTAGTTGCTGGTGTTTTGAACACTTCTAAATACTCTTATTACATCAAAATGTTCGAGAAGTTTAGACATGACTGTAAGTACGAGGCATTTGTGTATACGCATTGACTTGGTCTCGTTGCGATGGCTGAATGAGTTTGGTTTTAACCAGCAATATCACGGCGGGGGACACCAGAAATGGGCTTCACACATTGTAACCATGTGAGGAATCGAACCGGGTTTTCGGCGTGACGGGCTAACACTTTAACCACTAGGCTACCCCGCCGCCCCTCGCAATGGCTGAAAGAATGCAAACGTTTAATTCTCTCTCATTGAATCTTGTGGGTTTCAGCAAAGTCATGTACGTCGAGGATTCACGTCTCTCCGGGCTTTCTTCCCACACGAATATCAGGCAGTGATGAACCTTGTACGCCGTTCAAAGAGGCGGTCTACCAAACTCACTCGCTCCCTCTTGTTTTTGATGCATGCTCGGGACGCGGCACGCCCAGTTGGCAACTATTAGCATACGTTAGCGTTTTTGGTTTGTTATGCAATTTGGAATTTCGTAAAACTGCCATGGTAACTATCAGGAACACAATGTGATCGCTGGAATGCTTGTTGATTATGTAGTGACTCACCAAGACTGCATCGCAGTAACCTGTTTGTGTTGACCATTTGTTTGCTGCTAAATATCACAGAAGGGCACGAGTTATTCAAAGACGCACAACATGCACCTGTGGCGAAACAACTTGAAACAGCAGAGCAAGAATGCATTTCCATTACATGCTGTGCATGTTGGAAGAAGGAGTTCGGTAATGGAAGTGAAATCTGAGACCAGACTAGACGCCTCTATGTGGAGAATGTTTCTTTCTTTATCGTATTCGCTGTGCGGTTTGTTGTTTAACGCCGCACTCGGCAATATTCCAGCTGTATGCGCAAGGACTCTCCGAGATCGACATTACTTAACTTCATCTGATTCGTGACCTGAGCACAGGACCACACACCACCTCCACTACAGAGTTACGACAGATCGTAACGTTACGAACCTTTTGTGGATCGTAAAGGATTCGTAAAGTTACGACCAGTCGTAACTCTATACCTGATCATAAGGCTTACGAATAGCATAGTGCCACGAACGCTTTGTGGATCAGCTGTATGAATAATCGAGACCCTGACAACCCAGTGACTGACATGATGAGCATCGATTTACGCAGATGAGATACGATGACATGTATCAGCCAAGTCAGCGAGCCTGACTATTCGATCCCGTACGTCTCCTTTTACAAACATAGACCACTGGGGCCCGATCCACAAAGCGTTCGTGGCACTATGCTATTCGTAAGCCTGATGATAAGGTATAGAGTTACGACTGGTCGTAACTTTATGAATCCTTTACGATCCACAAAAGGTTCGTAACGTTACGATCTGTCGTAACTCTGTAGTGGAGGTGGTGTGTGGTCCTGTGCTCAGGTCACGAATCAGATGAAGTTAAGTAATGTCGATCTCGGAGAGTCCTTGGATGGGTGGACAGCCTCCGTGGTGTAGTGGTTAGAGCGTCCGCCCGGAGAGCGGAAGGTCGCGGGTTCGATCCCCGACCGCGTCATACCAAAAGACGTTAGAATATGGTACTTGTTGGTTCTTGCCTGGCGCTCGGCATTAATGGGTACAACAAGGACTGGTCGGCGGCTCGGAGTCAGTATATTGTGTCTGAGTGGGGTATTCATGCTTCACTGTGGCATGGTATCTCAGTGGGCTAGCACTATAAAACCAGCACGACGTTAAACCCAATTTCACCTCACCTAAGCCTTGGATGGGTGACCGTGTTTGGTAGCTTGACTCCTAAGTGTTTATAGGGCTTCAGTCCTTCCCCACAACGAAGCAGGATAATAATCAGATTCTGATTACAGCGTCCAGTTAGCAACCAGTCAGATGGACACTAGGCGCAAAATGATTGAATTATTATTAGCTAATCAGTTATGAATGTCGTAGCGCTACGAACGTGTTGTGGATCGGGACCCATCTCTTTAAGGGTACATTAGCTGTAGAGAGTTGGCATGCCTCTTTGATCGGGTTTTATTATTTTGGGTTAGCACCAAACCCGTTTTCAAGGGTTTGGTAAGTGTGGAACGATGCTTGGACTTGCTCCACCTTTTATTTGGCCTTTCTCCTACTTAAAGTCGACGTGTAGATATATTTAAATACAGCTGAATCTGTTACATAAGATGCCTCCCACTCTCCGGTCTCATTGCCTGGTCTAAGTCAAAGAATTTAATTTGTAAACTAGTGTCTCTCAGTCAAGTCGTTAAAGTTGTCAAAGAGTTGGGTGCACGAAACTTCTGGCCGTTGGTTCGAACTGCTTATGACTCGAGTTGTATAATTCACGAGATAACTGTTGGAACTGTAGGTTTACCAATGCATATAATAGTTTTATATCGTGAAAGGTTTCAACAGTCAACTTAATCCTGTCATTTTGGTTTGTTCTCCTACAAGATGACAAGCAGGGAGAGAACTCCGGGGGCGGTGGGGTAGCCTAATGGTTAAAGCGTTGGCTCGTCACGCCGAAGACCCGGGTTCGAATCCCCACATGGGCACAATGTGTGAAGCCCATTTCTGGTGTCCCCCGCCGTGATATTGCTGGAATATTGCTAGAAGCGGCGTAAAACCAAACTCAGTCAGTCAGTCAGTCAGTCAAAGGAGCGAGTCGGGTTTTATGCAGCTGTTATAGTCTGTTTGCAGTGAAAACGTACCGATGAGTTTCACTTTAAACGAAAAAGTAAATCACATAAAGTGAAATTGAGATTGCGAA